ACTTTAGTAGCAATGCATAAGACGACTAGAGTAGTATAAGATTTTAAACGGGAAAGCCAATTAAGAAGCTATTATAATAATCTAGGCAAAAAGTGATGGCATCTTTAAGGTGGTACTTGTGTGAGTGGAATGCAGGAGTCAGTTGTAAGAGATGCTGTGATATCAACTATCTCCATCTGTTATCATATCTGACAGCATTTCTGTTATTAATAGTGACTTAGAACATTTTTTACACATAGTTGACAGTTTACTTTTCTTCTTTTGAAGACCCTTCATATTCTTTATGCATTTTGCCTAATGGGGAATAGTTCTTGGGGCATGACCTGCCCTTGATAAAACCAGACTGGCTCTTTGTGAACACTGCTTCCTTTTCTAGACGGTCACTATCTTTCTTACATTTTACAGATTTTGTTCTCAGGAATCAAAGTTAAGCTTTAAGTCTATAATCTGCAGACTCTATTTTCATCTTCTAAAACACCGGTCTAACATTTGCCTTTTTCCAGTCTTGCGGCACCTTTCCTATTCTCCACAGTCTTCACAAATCACTGGCAGTGACCCATCTACAAATCCACCAGTTTTTTCAGAACCTTAGATGCAGTTCATCTTGGCCCGGTGACATCATGAGCAACTAGGTATTCTCTTACTCTCCTTATTCATCTTGGGTATTAGCCATTTTAATTCTGTCTTTTCCACTACATATATCACTTTCCTTGGTAGAGAAAACAGAAGCAAAATAAGTTGAGGAGCTTTTGCCTTTTCTATCACCAGTCATCATTATTCTATATATTCAATGCAGCGGTCCTATCCCTACTTTGACAAAAATTTAAAAACACTCATTATTGCTATTACTTTTTCTTGTCAGTCTCAGATCACTCTGATCTTTAATTCCTTTGATTTCATCCTTTATGTCTCTTTAAGAAAAATTTAAGGTGTTAATTTGTGCATCTACATAGGCTTTTTTTTTGGGGGGGGTGAGGTAATTGGGGTTAAGTGACTTGCCCAGGTTCAAACAGCTAGTGAATGTTATATGTCTGAGGCCGAATTTGAACTCAGGTCTTCCTGAAACCAGGGTTGGTGCTCTATCCACTGTGCCACCTAGCTGCCCCTAGGCTTCTTTGCACAGCTCCTTTTTCATTCTCATTTCCCTTCCCCAAACTCTGTCAGATTTTCAAAAGAGGAGGGGTCATTTCCACCAAAGCTGTCTCATTTTCACCCAAATTCTCTTTATTGGTAAGAGTCAGACCCAGTTCTCATTGTTTCCTGTACCTCTTGAAGTTGTACTACCATTAAGACAAGAAAAAAGTACAAGTTGCTCTGTCTTTGGCTGACAAAAGTTCCAAGAGATGAGGTAGTATGATATAGTGTGAAGAACACTGGATCTGGAGTCAGAGGACTTGGGTTCAATTTCTGCTTTGGACATTTACTGTGTAAACTTTAATAAGTCATAAACTCCATAGGTCTTAGTTCTCACACTTGTAAAATGAGGCAGTTGTACCAGATAGCTTCTGTACTCTCTCTGTTGTAGCTCTAATGTAATACCTTATGTCTAAATAATTAAGTCCCCCCATCAGTATTATAAATAACCACACCAGGCTTATGGTTTATTAAACTCCACTATCCACTTGTTCCTGTCCAGGTGATCTTAGTATACTTTAATGACAATATCATTGTTGGTTTTACTGCCATTAATCTTTACCTATACCATACATTCCCTCTCTATTTCCTAGATTTCTTCATATGAGCTTATCTTAATATACAAGGCTACCTCTCCTCCTTCTGCTTCTACCTATTGTTTTTTCTTTATAAGAAAACACTTTCCAGAAGTATATTCCAGTCATGGAATTCTCATCTTACCCAGTGTCAGTGACAGCTATGAAGTAAATTTTACCTCCCTACATTAGGATCTCTTTACTGCGTGCACTTGTGTATAAATATCTGAAGCCATGAGTTTTACTGCTTGTTCAGGAGATTTTTGTCTCCTGTGAATTTCTCAGCATCATTAGATACAGTATCCTTTTCATATGGAAGATGTTTATCTCTTTGGTCTCCAGTGAGTGGCTACACTAAGGTAGTTTTTTCACTCCTTTACTTTTTAGTTTTGAAAGACTAAGCCAAGAAATTCATGCCAGTCTTTCTTAGGTATACGCTATCCCTGGCCAGGAACTTGTAATTTCCATATTTAAAGCCATTACTCAAATTTCTTTTAATGGTCCAAAATCCAAACCCTATTCTCAGAAATGGTAGACTTATCCAACTGTTCATCTCTCAGATTTGCCTTTTTCTTCAATAGATCTCACCTTTGACCAGCAGAGTGATAAAAAGCAATACTTGTGCTCCCATAATATATACTTTCCTGGCCAACACTTAATAGCAATGCTTTACAGCTTCCTTAAGGCAATATCATTTGTGCATACATAAATCATCCAAGGTGGCTAGTGGTCATCAGGTTTATACAAGGCTTGGGAAGTTCATCATATCCATGACAGATTTTTTTTTTAAGCAACTGGGGTTAAGTGACTTGCCCAGGGTCACACAGCTAGTAAGTGTCAAGTGTTTGGTCTGAGGCTGGTTTTGAACTCAGGTCCTTCTGACTTCAGAGCCAGTGCTCTATCCACTGTGCCACCTAGCTGCCCCTGATAGAGCTCTATTTCTATCAGGTTGAAAAATAGCTGCCTCTAGATTCACCTCTTCTTCCTCTTATCTTCAAAGGATCTCACCTGATAGTAACTTTGAATCTACTTCACTCTTCTTTGTAAAAGAGCAGGTGCTCCCTGTTTGGGATGAATCTCATATATATATGGATCTTTCTATTTTCCTGTCACTGTTTTCCATTCTCTACTGGGGTACAGGTCAGAATTCCCCTTGCTCCCTCCAGATCTTTTTGTTTTCAAAATAAAGTCATTTTTCCCCCTTTTGGAAAGAATAATCTCCTCACCTCCAGGAAGGCAGAGATGTCATTTGAACCCTGCACCATCTCATCTAGAAAGTAAACAAACCTGACCTTTAAGCATAGATAACAATTACTTGAATATGGTAAAAAGACAGTGTGCATTCTATGCAGGCTACAGGAAGCCTCCATGCTGTCCAGATTTCCTAAAAGCATAATGTTGAATCCTTTGTTATTCTATTTGTTGTTATCAAAAAGTTTTTTAGGATTAGTACTGGTTCTAGGGGGTAGAAGTGTCTATTAGTTGATGGCAGTGGACAGGGTTACTTGCCAGATCATTTGGGGCCACTATCACCAAACCTTGTCTCCAATGCTGGGGTCTCTTAGTTCATTCCCTTTTAGAGACTATGGGGATTCAGTCAAGATTTGAGGGAAAGCATACTTCTTTTAATCATGATTCACAGAGGTCCACCTTTCTTCAGCTCTCCTTGTTCTCCTATCCCGACAAAGCACGCACACCAGGAGAAATTTCTGCCTTCTTCTTTCCACTAAGACCAGCCTCATCTTCCACTTAGAGTATGTTCATGGACCAGAATTCTACCACTGCTTTGGTTTTAATCGCTCCACCACCACCCCAAAAGGAATGTGTAGCTATTCTCACAGAGTATTTTCATAAGAATTCAATATAGAGAACTGTATTAATTTTATTCCTCAAGCCACTGAAACTATGTATTTAGAATGAACAAGTGAAAAGTAGCATTTTGGAGCTGGAAGGGACCATATAGCCTAACTCCCTCATTTTACAGATGAGGAAACTGAGGCCCAGGGAGGTAAAAGGTCTTGCCCAAAGTTACATAGTGAGATAATGACACTCTTAGACTAATTCTGAGGTCTCTGGACTCATAGTCCAGGGCTCTCCACTAATCTATGTCTCTACCCCCAACCCCATCCCAGGTCCAAATGTGTTCAGGAAAGGAGATAATCAAATCTCTCCATGACGCCCTAATTTATGCAAGGGTCTACTCAAGGACAGAGTAGATGATTAGTGAATGTGTGTGGAATAGATAGATTCCAATTAAGGGGAGAAGCCTAGTGTTTTATGAAGTTACTTCTGGGGTTCTGAAGGCTTTTGTTCTTTCTCCCATTCTCCTGATCACATGCATGCTTTTTTTTTTTTGCTCCTCTTATTCCTCTACAGACTTCGAACTAGCAAAATATTACTGAGTCAATTCTATGTTTGTGGCAGGTAGGTAAGAAGCCCCCTCCACTGGGTCATTGCATCATTCTCAGCTTTGTCCCTAGAGATCCCTTTGTTTCCTTACCAGCTCAGCTGCATAGGGTATCTCAGTATAGTGGAAAGAGCACACCTGTTCTGTTTACTAGCTGTTTCAACTTGGGTTAAGAGGACTCAGTTTCCCTTTCTGTAAAATGAAGTAATTGGACCATATCAGAGGTATCTAACCTATTGAGAAAACTTGGAAGTGCCAGGGAGCTACTGCAAAGGGTCTATAAATCCGTCGGTGCACCAAGTGTTATTTTTATTTTTATTGATCTCCAACAAAATACACACGACAATATAATAAGTCAATACACCTTCCATTGACCGAATACTATAATGTCTCACTTGTATGAAGTGACGCAAAATGAAGGCCAAGAGAATACAAAAGACATGACTACAACAAGCTAAATGAAAAGGACCCAAAAAGACATCAGAATCAGCTTGGATACAACAACCAGTCTTAGTTGCAGAAGACTGGTGAGAATATTTACCTGTTTTCTCAATAGAAAGACAATGGACTACAGATGTAGAATGTTGAAAATGCTGTCAAACATAATCAACTAGGTAGGTTGGTTTTACCTGTTTCTCTTTGTTATAAGGGAGAGTTCTGTGGCAAGGAGGGATTTTATTGGGAAAGTGACTATGTTTTAAATAACAAAAAGCATCAACAAAACATTATCATAATGTTTTGTACATATATTACTAATTTTCAAACTATATAGATAATACAGAGATGAATAAAATAAAAATTCACAATACAATTCACAAATCCACAAATCTCAATCCCTTTGCTGAGGGGGAACATATATTTAAAGCAGTGGCCAGTATACTTACATTTGGCTCACCCCGGGCTTCAAGAGTTTCCTCCTCCTCCTCCTCTTCTTCTATCTGCAGCCTCAACACATTCAACTCTTTTCCTGTGGATTCTTCCCTTTTGGCTTTTTTACACCTGCAGGCCTCCATGTCACTCTGCAACTGGTGCAGTTGTAGCAGGACAATGTCATGCCCTGAGTCAGAACACATGGAGGCACCACATGATTCCTTTTATTTCTCTTTCAAATGCTGAAAACAGCCCCAGTAGTAATTTTCTGGTACTGTACTTCCTGGACTCATTTGTCCACAGAATGTTTTTATTTTGCTATATATATAAGGGTCTGAGTTATAGAATATCCTGTGGATAAAAGAGTGGGGGCAATCCTGGAGCAAAATGCAAGAAAATCATATATATTTTTATATGGAAAACTTTGTTGCACAAAACAAGTATTTTTGATGAATAACTTCATACCTAGTATTTCTGTTGATGGCATTGCTTTTCTCCCTAGCACTCAAGCTCAAAATCTGGGAGGCAGCTTTAGAGTCTTCTACCTCAATAATCTCTTTTCTATCTGTTCCCTTTTTCTCCATTCCCAGAGCCACCACCTTAGAGCAGGCCTTCATTACCATCCATCTGTACTTTCATACTAACCTCCCAAAGTGGTTCCCCTACACTGTACTACTAGCCATGTCACCTCTGTGCATTTGCTTGTTTGGCCAGTTCCCCATGACTGGCTATCCATTCAGAATCTTCCTTTTCCTTTAAGGCTCAGTTTCTTTTTTTTTTAAATTTATTATATTTTTAGTTAATTTTCTAAAGCTTTACTTGATATCCTTCACTAAAATTATTCTCTCTCTCTACAGAGAACTTTGGATCCCTCCTGTCTCTATCGTCATTCTATCTTATATTACACACACATGTTATTTCCTTACTGTAGAACATAAACCCCTTTAAGCCAGAATCTGTGAAATGTTAAAATTCTTTCTATCCCTAGTATCTTGCAATATGAGGTAGCATTTAAGAAATGTTTTTTAATTGAACTAAAAAAGAAATATTGCTGTTATTGAAGTTCCAAACTCTTCTGCCCAGCACCCGAGGCTGTTTGGTCAATGTCTGGTGCCTCTCCACCTGTGTAGCATTATTTCATGTGACCCACACTCAATAGTCTAGCCACAGTAGACGACCCACTGATGCCTGCATTCTTCTGTAATGCTCCTTATGCCAAGACTGCCTTTCTTTCTCTTCCCTTTTTGCTACTGAGTTCATATACCTTTAAAAGTCCAAATCAGACACCACTGCCTTGGGAAGGCATTCCCTGATTTTTCTGTCAATAACATTTTCCTTCAGAATTCACATTGCATTTAGTTTTGCACCCACTAAAGCATTTATCATGTATAATTGTTTATTACAGATTCTGTGCTGGTGACTTAAAACTCCTACTGGGCTAGCAGCTCTAGGAAGACAGGAATCATGCCATAGCTAAACTTCAGCTTTGCCTAAAAGCCAGTGCATAGCACAATACTCTATATCATTCTTCTAGATGCTCTGTTAAATGTCTATTGTATTCTATTTTATCACAAAATCTCTATTCATATTGTATGGAACACCAGAGGCTCCAACATAACTTGAGAAATGCAGGTTTTGGTCTCTTCCTACTTTCAGGACACAGACTGGGATATTAACTATAGTATTTATCCAGAGCAATTTTAGGAATTATTTCCTAACTGAATTTATGCCTCCAGAAGGAAGGAACCTGGGCCTGAGCACTTTGTGCTGATCTGTATTTCAATGTTGTCCTAACAAAAGAACAAATGCTTAGAAGAGCAGTGATTGGGCATAAAGGATAGAGTTGGTTGGTCCAACCTTTCTTCAGCTGGTCAATTTCTTCTTCTTTTTGGAGAAGAGTTTTAGTTTTCTCATTGAGAAACTGTTCCTTCTCCTTTATTAATGTTGTTAGGTCAGCAACCTTAGTGAAGAGAAAAACCAACATGTATCAACAGTAGTTACTCCTAAACTGAACCACCACTCTACAATTCACCACTGTTACTATCCCAAAATAGCCTCAAAAATTTCACAAGTTCTGTCCTGAAAACCCGATGGACCATTCCTTTTTCAACCACAGATTCCGTGGAAATTATTTTCACTGTCACTCTGGCCAACAGAGAAAATCTGGCCAAATCTCTCAGCAGGGCCCTGTCCAAAACTGGCTATACACAGATATTCGAACTAAGACACTAATAATCTTAGTTTGAATTTCAGGGTATTAGCCTGCAGGAATCCATTTCTCAAAGGCTCAATAATTCAGAGATCAATAGGCAACTGGGTGTGGTAATATTTATAAGACAATCATCAACCCTCTGATAAGGAACCCTCCAATAACAGCACAGGCCAGATGTGGAAATGACGTGGTGACCTTTGGGCAGTAATATGAGTATTTACCCCAACTGAAGCATTCCCTTCAATGCCCCATCAAGGCATGGCAGTGACCCTATGTTCTTGAAAACTAAGAATACAGAATAACTTAGGGTAACTCCTAATATACTGGAAAGGCTTCAATCAAGAACAGGCCTTGGCTATTAGGTGGTAATGAATTGGTTGGGCAACAGCATTCCATGAAACTATCTACCAGGAGGGGCTGAAAACCTACAAAGTCTTAGTTCTTTTAGGATACTGCAATAATGTTCACTGAAGTATAATCTCCTTTGGTGAATAAATTAGATAAACAGGCTATAGCATTTTTGTGACCTTCTTCCGTATCCCTCTACTCTGAGATAAGTAGCAAACAAATAATGAAGCATAAATATTCAGTGGAGTCAATTCCTATAAGCTAAAAATTTCTTTATTAGTCATCTAAATTTCTGACAGAATGCTGCCAGGCTCTCTATCATATGAATGCTAAGGTAAAAGCAGTGACCTTAATAAGTAGCCACAACTGGACAAACCTGCTGTTGAAAATCTTCCCTTTGTTTCCGGGTTTCTTCTAGTGCCTTGGCAATTTCCACATTAACAGTTTCTCTCTGGCTCCATTCTTCCTACAAACCAAGATACACTCATGAGATTTTGATGCTAAAATTCTAGTTCACATTCCTTTGATCATAACATATTAAATTACTATTAAACATAGCAACATAAGAAATGCTGCACTGAGTAAGATCAATAGATCATATTAAAACCCAATGGATTTCGAGTCAGAGAAGCAGAGTTGGATATTAATATGACCTTCAGCAAAACATTTCCTTTTGTAGACCTCAGTTTTCTGTCTGTAAAATGAAGGGATTGGACTAAATAATCTCTAGGGTCTCTATCTCTAAATCCTATAATCCCATGAGCTATCACTAAGAGAGGTACTAAGGAACCTTCTATGGGGAAACCTCCTACAATGAAAGTAATTTTCCTTAAACACAGATCTAACCACATGACTCTCCTACTGAATCAACTCCAGTGGCTCCTTATCATGGCTAGGATAAAATATAAACTTTCCTGTTTAGCTTTTAAAGCCTACCCAACCTGGCCCTAAGCTACCTTTTTAGCCTCACTGGGCATCACTTCCTCCAGCACTTTGCAATTCCACCAAGCTGGCTTCCTCTCAGTTCCCTGCACATGACACTCTATCTCCCATTTCTGTACTTTTGCACAGGCCGTCCCACATGCCAAGAATGCCTTCCCTCCTTACCTTGGCACCTGAGTCCCTTTCTTCCTTTGTGATGCAGCTCAAGCACCATCTTTGGCAGAAAGCTTAACAAACACCAAATTTCCCTACTATAGTACACTGTGGAACAGGTGGGAATTGTACACGAAACTTCAAATCTCTTATGTAAATTCAATAAATACAAATTATACAAAGTATAGGAGGGAAGGCAATAATAGTTGAGGCAGAGGTAGTCATGTTCTAGGCAAGTGGTACGGCCAGTACAGAGGCACTAGGATGGACAAGAGTGTTGTGTATATGGAACAATGAAGAGGTTAGTTTGGTCCTTGCTTTTCCTTTTAAATACATGATAAATTTAACATGTAAAACTTCCAAAACTGATTCCTGCTGGCCTTTTATGTTTGTTTGGGAAAACTATCCCCACCCCTTCTCTTCCTCTTTTGCCTCCTCCTCTTTCAATTAAAAAAGAAAAGTTAAACCTTTTTGACATTTCTGCATTGTCAAAAATACTGAATTCCCACATTGGTCATGTCCAAAAATGCATGTCTCATTCTGCACCTTGAATTCATTACCTCTAGTCAGTAGAAGGGCAGCATTCATCATTGGTACTGTGATATTGCTGGTCCAAATGCCTACAATGCACTTCCTCTTTCTACCTCTCACCTTACAGAGTCCTTCTCTTCCTTCAAGATAAGATCATTAAACTGATGAGAGTTAAGTCTTTCAAAGTTAGTTTTCATTACATTGTTGCTACTGTTCAAACTATTCTATTGGTTCTGCTCACTTCATTCTGTATCAGTTAATATAAGACTTCTCAGGCATCTCTGAAAGCAACCCTTTCCTGATTTATTTCTTTTTGCTTTTTGGTGAGGCAATCGAGGTTAAGTGACTTGCCCAGGGCAACACAGTCAGTAAGTGTCAAGTGTCTGAGGCTGGATCTGAACTCAGGTCCTCCTGACTCCAAGACCAGAGCTCTATTCACTGCACCACCTAGCTGCCCCCCCTTTCCTGATTTCTTATGGAACAATACTACTCAATTATATCCATATACCATAATTTATTCAGTCATTTTTCAAAAGACAGGTTCCCCATTACTCAAAGAGTTCCTTGTCAATACTCAAAGAGCTTCCAGAAATAAATAGTCTTGTACATATGGTTTCTTTTCCTCTTTCTTTGCTCTCTCTGAAGTATAGGCCTAGTAGTGACATCACTGGGTCAAAGCATGCAAGTTGAGTCCATAAGCATTTATCAAGTGCCTACTCTGTACCAGGAACTGTGCTAGGTACAGTTGAGTAACTTCTGGAGCATAGTTCTGAACTGATTTCCAAAATGGCTAGACCAATTCACAGTTTCACCAACAATGAATTAATGTGCTTATTTTCCCATGCATGACCCAGACATGTCATTTTCTTGTCATATCTGCTAATCTGATGGGATTTAAGGTAGAAGTTTCAACTTGTTTCAATTTACATTTCTATAACTATTAGTGATTTGGAACACTTTTCTTTTAATAAAACTGTTAATAACTTGGATTTCTTTCTCTGAAAACTGTCTATTCATATCCTTTGACCATTTACCTATGGTCAAAGAGCAGGAGAGAATGGGTCTTCTTAAAAATTTGAATGAATTCCTAATACATCTTGGAGAACGAGCTGCAGAGGATTTTTCTTGGTTGCCAATTTCCCTTCTAATTTTAACTACACTGGTTTTGTTTGTGTAAAACATTTATCTGTGACCCTCTCTATCCTTTGTTTGGTCATGAACTCTGTCCTATCCACTGATCCAAAAGTAATTTCTTCCTTATTCCTTTAATTTGTCTAAGATGTCACCTTTCGTGTCCAAGTCCTGTATTCATCTAGAGTTTATCTTGTTAAATGGTGTAAGTTATTGGTTTACACCTAATTTCTGCCAGACTGCTTTCTAGTTTTTTCAGCAGCTTTTGTCCAATAGTAAGTCCTCTCCCCAGAAGTTGGGGTCGTTTTTGCCAAATCCCTCATGATGAGGAAAATCAAGTGCAGAGAGGTTAAATGATTTGTCCAGTGTCACACAAATATCATACAGAGCTGAGATTCAAGCCTACGACCTCTCTGACTACAAATCTACTGTTCTTTTCCATTGTACCTACCATCCCAGGACATTGTAGGATAAACATTTTCCTCAAAAGCAAGACAGCAGCACTAACTCATTTGACCAAATAGGAAGGAATAAAAAATGTACCAGTCCCATTAAGTTTAGCTTCGTGATTCAAGTTAACTTGCATCTCAATGACTACAAAGCCCAGGAATGACCAATGACTACAAATCCATGTAAAATTTGGATTCAGTCAAAAGGCTGCACTTAAGGATCTAGAAGGCCACATGGGGCCTCAAGGCCCACCCCTGCGCTAGAGCCTACGCTACTTGCTTTTTTGTAGAATCACAAATTAGAGCTGGAAGGGGCTTTAGACCAAAGGATATTAGACAGGCAAGGCTTTAAAACATAAAATAAACTGTTAGAAACATAGAGACAACCCAGTTTAACTTCTTCATTTTATCAATGAATAAATTGAGGCTGAAATGATTTGCTCAGGGTCACAGAAGTAACTGTAAGTACTTGAACCACTGTTCTGTGATTCCAAGCCCAAGGCTCTTTCTGCCACACCATGCTGATAACCTTTCAAAAGGATTCACATTGCTGGAAGCACCCTCCTTTAATTTTGTAAATACCTTCAATTTCTTCAACTCAAGCTTGTGGGCTTCTAAAGAACTTTCACATTCATTTCTATTTTCTTTAAGGTTTGCATTTTCTTCTTCCAGCAGTTGCTGAAAATTAGAAAGAATAGGTATTAAAAGAAAAAAGTTTTAAACAGTTACACTGTTCATCTGTATAATACTGAAGTTACTAGTTCTTTAACTATAGGGACCTTCAAACCAGTATTTTGCAAAAGAAGTCACTATAGGATTACTTCTAAGATACAGTGGATTAAGGAAGGTAAAGAGCAAAGAAAAGGAACACTCCTAATTATGAAAAGTAAACAGCTGGGAGATGAGTTCAAGAAAAGAAGGGAATAAGGAGCAAAAACAAGGTGGAGAGGGGGAAAAAGAGTAAAGAACCAATACAATTTGGACATGAAGAGAAAGGAAATTTATGTACTACAATATGAAACATTTTAAAACTTCATCTCCAAAAAATTTATAAACTGCTACTTAAAATATTGCAACTCAGAGAATGACTTTCCTCATCTCCATGGAAACAATTACAAAAGCTACATTTTGTTTGTCCTTGGTATATTCAGCTTCTTGGCCTTGAAGGAAGGGCCTCGGTGACCATAATATCCTTGTGTCAAGCACTTTCCTCTACTTACTATCTGGTGGCTTGCGGCTGTCTCGTCAGATGCTCGAGTTTTCTCAAGGGCAGCTATTTCAGCCTCCAGTCGGTTCCCCTGCTCTGCATACTGCTGCTCCAGGACCAAGACCTGCTGTTGCAATTTGTTCCTTTCTTCTGCCAAACTGGACTGTTCAAAACCCCCAAAAACAATTTTTTATTATCTAGTTAATAAGCTGTTAGCAGCTGTGCAGCAATTTAAAGATCTGCAAAGTGATTTTACCTATGAAGCAGGTACTACAGCTATTATTTCCATTTTACAGATCAGGAAACTGAGGCTCAGAGAGAATGACTTTCCCATGGCCACAAGGATAGCCAATGTCAAAGGTAGGATTCAAAGCCATGTCTCCCTGGACAGTAAACCCGGAGCTGTTTCTTTTAGATTATGCTACTTCTCTTCAAATCGAGTCCAGTGAAGCCCTCCTCATGGCATGCAGGGGACTCTGGGTACTCTAAGGCTAGAGTGTCCAGGATATGTCAGGTAACAGGTTGGTATTACTGCCATCTTCAGATCAGTTTTGCTGATTGCAGAGAAGCTTGTCATCCTGAGATGAATTTTTTTGGTCACAGAAACTTATATGCGGATTGCCTATTAACATGTGGAGAGGTTCTGATCTCTGTCAGTGGAAGGAACCCCCATTCTAAAGAAATGACAGGTCTTTTGAAGCTTGAATAAACATTTAACAAAAAGAATTTTTAAAGGGATCCTTCCACAGGCCTTGGGTTACTGAAGATCTTGTCTCTCTATAGAGATAAGCTGTCATCACACTCACCCAGTCAAACCTAATAGTTCTTGCCATCTCTCAAAAACAAAAAAGCACCCATAAAAACAAATCTATGAATTACAGAAAATCTGAGTGTGTGTCAAATGACAGGCACAGCCACAAGTAAGGTCAGGGCATGATGCTTCCTAACTGATTCAAACCAGAAAATCCATCCCGAGACACAACGCATCCTCTTCCTGCCAGAAAATGAAACTAGCAGAGAACACTTACAAGCCTCTGGATCTGTGCTTCTTTTTCAATCATTATTTCACTGCTCTTCTTAAGCTTCTCATCTGAAATCTGCAGCATTTCCCCAAGTTCTTTTACCTAAATGGGGAAAGAAAAGAAATACTCTTCCCTATTCAACAAATGCAGACACCATTAAGAGAAGAATGCCAGTTCCCCAGGCTTGACTTTCACCTGACTAAGGCTGCTTTCTCTTAATCCTTTTATAAATTCTTCTTTCTCATGAAGTAATGCATGGCTGTCAGTTACTTGACTATTCAGTTTTGTGATCTAGAAATAAAACAAAAAGAAATACTTTCTGTTCAGAGAAATAGAGGATGGAGAACTTCAAGCATGACAGCTATTCCCACTAAAGGGAGGATCCCTCCAAGTGACTGGTATGTACACAGCTGATATAGTAAGACCCTTTCTCAGAGGTGAAGCCAGTAATGCTGAATCTCCTACCTACCTACGTACTAACTGTGTGATAATGGGCACACTACTTCCCCTCTCTGGCCCTCAGTTTCTCGATCTGTTAAATGTAGCTATTTTACTAGACTGATCACTAAGATCCCTTTAAGCCTGGAGGGACCAGATGGTACTATTCACCGAATCACTCATACTTCTGGTACTAAAAACAATGAGATGGAAAAGCATTCCTAAATTTATAATTCCAAGAGATTTATAATTATAGTGTAAGTTTTAATCACACAGACACACTGTTTCACAGACATAAAGCACTTACAATACAAACAAAGAACACAATGGAAAAAGTACCTGGGTCTCCAGCAGGCTAACTGTCTCAGCATGGCTAGTCTTAGCAGCCAACAGCTGCTGCCTTGTGTCATCCAATTTCTGTTCTGCAACAGTTTTCTGAAACAATTGAAAAAAAGAAAAGCAACCCCCCCCACACACACACTATTAGCCAACAATCACCCTGTCTGGTTTTCCATAAACCAGGCATAGCTAAACTGCAGCAGCATCTTTTCTTAATAAAAGCCTGCATCCATAACTATTTGTCTTCACTCACAGAAGAACACAAAGGGGAGGGGGAACAAGGTAGAGAGAGTAGTCTCCAAGTAGCACAGAATGATGGGTATAGTCTATTTGTAAAGAGCATCTCATCAAATCATAACTATCTCTCACAAGCAGAAGAAAAAGTGTTTCAGTCCCTGGGAGAAGACTGTCTTTTGAGGATGACTGTAGGTGCAATAAGATTATCTCTATGGGAACAGTAAAGTTAAAGAAAACTTTCTTCCTTGATCTTCTGACTTTTAATGTGTTCTTTCAACTCTAAAATTCTATGACCCTATGAAATATCAGAATTCATATTCAAAAACAGTTGAAGCACTTACAATTTCCACTGTACTAGAATGTTGGAAGAAACACTAAATTTAGATTTTACACAGTTCTTGCCCTTCATGGACACTAGATTCTTGTAGGGGATATGACAAAAAGACCACCAGTAACTATAACACTCAATAGCATATGACAGTGTAAACAGTTGGTAGAGAGCCAGCGCTGGGTTCAAGAAGAGCTAGGTTTAAGTCTTGACTGACAAGACACATACTGATTATGTGACCCTGGGCAAGTCACTTAACTGTCAGTGCCCTAGGCAGCTCTAGAGCAGCAGAAGTTGCAGAAAAAGGTGCTAATATGAATAGATAAGAATTCTCAATATGATGAAATCCTAGGTCCAGTTCCATCCCAAAACGTATGCGTGAAGTACCCTAGGACAAGTTTTTTATTCACTGGGGAAATAAGGGAAGCCCTGAGGGAAGTCATAAAGCAGATTTTACAGGACTTGAGCTTGAAAGGATGGTAAGGTAAGTATTCAACAAAAGAAGGGGTAGGAGAAATCACATCTCATTACTGTTTCACTCTGACACTAACCAAGGGGAAGGTGATGTAGATTTAAATTACCTCTTTAAGTAGCTCCTGTACATGTTCCTCCCCTGACAAGTTTCCTTCTAGTCTCTTCTCCAGGGACAAAACTTTTTTCTGCAAATGTTCGATGAGTTTTTCTCCCTCTTCAGCCTTGACAGCAGCCTATTATAGTAAAAAGCAGGGATGTTCACCTTCTAAGCAAATCCTTCTCTCTCTTGACACACAAAAGTTCCTCAGAATTCAAAAGACTCTTTGTAGATCCCAAAAGATGAACTCCTTACTTCACACTTGACCAGGAAATCCTTCACTTGCCTCCATGCCCCCCAAAACTGTGAAAAATGGCTTCAGGACACACTCAGTCAATCACATCTTTCTCCCCAATTAAAGCAATAGGAGTTCTTGGAAGAAGTAATGCAATTATCTCTCCTGGAAACTAGCCAGGATACTAGATCCTCCTCTTTAAAAAAAATTAAATTATGTTTTCATGAGTCAGAACTCATTTTAATCATATCACCTATGCTGTAATAATCAAGACTAGCAGCACTTGAACTGCTGAGCCTATGTTCTGAGGTTTGTCTTCATTTACTTAAAAACACAAAAGAGCTTAAGATTACCCTAAAGCAGAGGCTGAGTTTTTGAAAAGTGAGCCATATGACTAGAAATCCATCTGTACGCAGGCTGCTTGAATATTTAAAATAATAATGAAATATATATTGATAACTCTTTAAAAATTCACTTTTTTTTGCAGTAATCAAAGATCAACTCCCAATCAATTTAATGAAGTTTAATTGTATACAAGTGCACAGCTAAAAATCTAGTGCTAGTCACTGATCAATCACGTCAGTGACATACTCTTTAGAAATGACAAAAGAATCATGGAGAACTGTGGCTATACTTAGGATATACAATTCTAACCCCAGGTTTATTTATTAGGGATATTGTTAAAAGGATTCTTATTTTAATATGGACGGGGTGGGATGACCTGACGCTCCTTATAGGCATGATTTTGTGAGCTCCTGATGGTGGCTCTCAGCTTTGATTTCAGCAGTTTCATGAAAGGAAATATAAGTAGAAGACCCAAGGAGACCCAAACACTGAGCAAAATTTAGTCATATAACCTGAAATATATGGTGTTTTAATGGCTTAGTAATTTCCATGCACTAGGTAATTAAATAAAATTTGTTTTGTTGATCACCTCAGAAAGACAGAATACTGAACTAACAAACGAAAATCAAAGAAACTAAAAGATGTTCCAGTTCAAATACAAGCTGACTATCACCCTAGAATGACCTAAGCAAAGCAATTTTCTAGGGAAAGACTCAACTATATAATTTGAGAATAATTCTAACAAAGTTCAAAAGCAGAAAAAACCCACAATAATCTCATCTAATCTATGACCACATCATTTATTAACTTCAGAACACACAAAAAAACCTAAGTTAAATAAAATTTTTTAAAAAGAAGGAAAAAGAAAATGCTCCCAAATATCACATTCACTTAGATTGCTCTAGTTGGCTAAACAAGAGACAAGACTTTAGGAAAAATTAAAGTCTTCCTCTGACTACAACCAATCACTAAATCATCAATGGCTAAGCAAGGTATTTGGCTTTGGTCTGATAATACCCCTCTAGTTACCAGTTGCCATCACTTCAATTATATCCCATAAGCATTTGTTAAATGCTTCTGCTGTGTAAAGCAGAATGTAATATTAGCATAAATTAGTCCCAAGCTCTTCAGGACTTCACAAAGATTTACAAAGAAGTGTGATAGTATATCACAAAGGATGCTGGAAATGGGAATCAGGAGAGACCTTACTTCAAATCCCACTTCTGACACTTCTAACTGTGACCAAATGCAATTCACTTAACCTTTTTGAATGTCCATTTCTTCACATGTAAAATGGGGATAATAATATAAACAAAACCTACCCTCATAGGTTTGTTGTGAGGGTCAAATGAGATAACATGCTAAATCTTAAAAAAAAAAAAACCAAAACCTTACATGCTGTCAGTAACTATTCCCAATAATAGTAGAGAAGATATGAAAAATATATTGAGGAAAAATCATACTGGTTATTTTAAGTGTATGAGAGGTCTAAATAAAATTGTGAGGAAGACATCACAAAAAGTTGATGGAACTTGAACCCAGCAAGTTACCAAGTGTTGTGTGCATGGAGTAACACTGACTTGGGAGTCCTAAGACCTGGTTCAAACCTTAGTTATGACACTTACTGGCTGTATTATCATGGAAGGACAAGTCAATTCACCTTCATGGGCTTCAGTTTCCTCGTCTATAAAATGAGATTAATAAACCATCTCAAACAGCTGTTTGCAGAACACAGTGATGCTTATATGATCTTGGGCAAGTCATTTTTTCTTTCTAGTCTTCAATTTCCCCATCTGTATAATTAAGGGCCTTAATTAACCCCTCTCAGACCAAGACTAACCGTAAAATAAACAAGACAGAAGTTAAGGAGATGAATAGAATTTTAGAAAAGTTAGATATGGAAAATCTTGTACAGAGAATATTGAATGAGAATAGAAAACACTATTTCTAATTCTTAGCTATACATGCACCTTCACAAAAACTGACCATGTATTACAGCATAAAAGTTTCACAAAGAAATGCAGAAAAGCAGAAATACTGACTATGTCTTCTGCTAATCAAAATGCAAAAAAAAAAAATTACATTCAATAAAAGGTCTTTGAAACAGATTAAAAATTAATTGTAAACTAACTTAATACTAAAGAATAGAAACATAAGTTCATTAAAGAAAATGAGGGGCAGCTAGGCGGCACAGTGGATAGAGCTTGGGCCTTGGAGTCAGGAGGACCTGAGTTCAAATCCAGCTTGAGACACTTGACACTTACTAGCTGTGTGACCCTGGGCAAGTCACTTAACCCTGACTGCCTCACCAAAAAAAAAAAAGAGAGAAGAGAGAGAGAGAGAGAGAGAGAGAGAGAGAGAGAGAGAGAGAGAGAGAGAGAGAGAGAGAGAAAAGAAAATGACAACAATCAGATAACATAATTTACAGGATGCAGCCAAAGCTGAACCCTAATTAGGGGAAAATTTATACCTCCAATTCCTTACAACAATAAAAGAAAGAACAAATCAATGAATTGTGTATGCAACTAAAAAAAATAGAAAAACAACTAATTAAATCCTGATATTAACAAAACTGAAAGTTTAAAAAACTGAATTAATAAATAAAACAGGAATTTTTAAAAATTATTATTATTTTTAAGGCAATTAGGGTTAAGTGACTTCCCCAGGGTCACACAGCTAGTAACTGTCAAGTATTTGCTCTGAGGCCGCATTTGAACTCAGGTCCTCCTGACTTCAGGGCCAGTGCTCTATCCACTATGCCACCCAGATGCCCCTAGGAATTGTTTTTTTGCAGAAACAAACAATAAAACAGATAAGCCACTGGCTAATTTGATTTTTTTTTAAAAAGAAGACAAAATTACTAGTATCAAAAATGAAAAAGGTTATTCACAACAAATGAAGAAGAAATAAAAGCAATCAGGAGCTATTTTGCCCAATTATATGCCAATAAAATGACAATCTATATGAAATGGGTGAATATTTACGAAATTATAAATTGCCCAGACTAACAGAACAGGAAATAGAATGCTTAAATAATTCAATCTTAGGAAAAAGAAATCAAACAAGCCATAAGTGGACTCCCCAAGGAAAGAAACCCAGGACCAGATGGGTTTATAAGCAAATTCTACCAAACATTTAAAGAATATACAATTCCAGTACCACATAAACTCTTTGGAAAAAATCAGTAAAGAAGCAGTAGTACCAAATTTCTCATATGACACAACTATAGTCTTTCTTAATACCTCAACCAGGAGGAGTCAAAAGAGAAAGAAAACTATAGACCAATTTCCTAATGAATATTAATACACAAATGTAAAATAAAATAATAGCAATGAGACTACACAACATATCACAAAGACCATGCATTATTTATAAGAGGGATGCAGGGCTGATTCAATATCATAAAAACTGTAAGCATAAATGACCACATTAAAAAAAAAACCAACAAAAATCTCATGATTGTTTCAAGAGATGTAGAAAAAGCTTTTGCCAAAATTTAAAACTCATTGCACTGGAAAACACAGGATAAATGGAGTTTTCTTTAAAATGATAACTAGTATCTCTCTAAAACCAGAGGCAAGCATTATCTGTAGTGGAAATAAGCTAGATGCCTTTCCGATAACATCAGCAAGTGAAGTGAAGATGCCCACTGTCACTATTATTATGCAATAATGGACTAGAAATGCTAACTATAGCAAAAAAATAAGAAAAAGAAACTGAGGAAATAAGCACAGGCAATGAGGAAACAAAACTATAACTTTTTACAGATATGTTGCTTTACTTAGAACCCTAGAGTCAATTCTAACTAACTGAAGCTAAATAAAATAATAAACTTCAGCAAAACTGTAGGATATAAATAAACCTACACAAATCATCCAGATTTCTGTATATTACCAACAAAACCCAGCAGGAAGAGACAAAGAATCCTATTTAAGATAACCAAAGACACTATTAAACTATTTGAAACTCTACCTGCTAAGACCCAAACAAATTATACAAACACAATTACAAAACACTCTTCACACAAATAAAGATGTCTAAACTACTGAATAAATGTTATTTAATCATGGCTAGGCCAAGCCAATATAACATATATGACAATACTACCCAAATTAATTTATTTATTCAGTACCATATCAAACTACCAAAGAATTACTTTATAGAGCTGGAAAAAATAATACCAAAATTCACCTGAAGGAACAAAGGGAAGGATATCAAAGAAATCAATGGAAAAAAAAATGGGAAGGAAAAGGACCTAGTAGTACCAGATCTCAAACTGTACTATATACAGTTGTACTTGTCAAAACAATTTGGTACTGGACAAGAAAGAGAGGTTTTCCTGCAACTATCCCCTTTGTCACTTATTATAATACAATGATACTCCATCACACACATATACCAAATTTCTTTTAAATGAACATGACTAATGTGGAAATTTGTTTTGTATTACTATACATATTTGTACTGAGTTTTGTTTTTCTTGCCTTCTCAATGGGTGGGGAGGGGTGGGAAAGGTAGTAAATCTGGAACTGAAAATAAAATTGAATTAAAAAAAAATAAAATGATGGGGTTGAACCAAGTAATTTCTAAGGTCCCTTCCCTTCCAGTTCTAAGTCTTATGATGTAATGACTATGTCACATTGGCTTCTAGAGCCACTATGGATGCTTCCATTTTCCTGGAGCTACAGAGGATACAAACAATGGTAATGGTAATGGGCACTTTCGGCCACAGCAGCTGTTAGCCAGGACATTCCAACAATGAAGGTTTGAAGACTGCTGGCATAACTGCTGGGTGATCGGACTGTGAGTTGTGTAGAACAGAAAAAGTTTAATTGGAAGAGAACAGGAAGGAGGAATCCAATGAAGGTTCTAGGTGTAGGTGAGCGGTAGGATCAGTAGTTGGACTCCTTGGACGTTTATTTTGCATTTCGCATTAACGTGGCTTTTTTGTTTCTTTTTTTGGGCTCTGAAGAACTGTTTTTGGTCAGGCCTAGGAGCTGTTATGTTTGAGCCTAGAGGAAGGGACTAGATAAAAAGAAACGGCTAGGTAGAGTAGCTGCTGGGTCCTACTCTAAGCTACTCCCCAACACTAAGGACATGTTATGTAGGTTATCTTGAGAAATCCAACACTTTGTAACTATAAATGCTCGAGCAATAGATTACAGTTAACAGCCCTCATTTCTATGTAGTTTTCAAATTTACAAAGCTCAAATCCCTGATGTAGATATTAGGGAGGGTATCCAGCTTGTCTGCAGGTCCTGGGATCTAGGTAAGTACCGAACAACTCACTTAATGTTAGTGCTAAGTGCTAGTGCCAACCCCATTTTACAGAAGAGGATAAGAGAGTCAAAGGGGTAAAGTGACTTGGCCAGTCAACAGCTAAGAAGTCAAAGCCCGAACATGAACCCAGGATTTCTGATTACATATCCAGTGCCCTTTCTACCTCACGACACTATCTGATCTCTTACTATCATTGCTGCCGCTCTTCTTGTTGTTACTTCAGTTTTGTCACTCCCTTTGCTATCCTGAACTCCCCTACCTTGTGGTTCTGCTGTTCATTTTCAAGCTTCAAAGACTCAGGCTCAGCCTGCAATGTGCCCAACCTCTTCTCAGAACAAGCTGCGGTTCCCTGAGCCTACAAGTTTGGGAAGGAGAGTTAGTTTCTGAATTATATATATATATTTTTTAACGGGCAGGTCCCTTCCAGCTCTAAAATTCCAAGATTCTAAGAGTATAACAAACAAATAATGAAAAACATTGCAAAGACTCTATTAACTCAAATGTTACAGAACAAAAGATGCAACTTATTGTCAAATATTATGGAAATATTATAGAAAATGTAGAAATGGGATCAAGAATGACTTGGTGATACTTTTAGAGTAAGAATACAAAAAAACTACAGACACATTAGTTTGCTACTCAGAATAAACCAGCACCAAGAAATGCATTGCAGTGCCTTTCCATTTCTCCGCTGACTTACCGAATAAGTAAACCCACTTTCAACGAACATGCTTTGGATGAGGTATTCTTGCATGGCTTTGTATATGATGATTTCTTGGGGGTAGATTTGGAGGTCAGCATGGAATGATCACATGAAGTGAAGGAATTCTAGGGAGTAATTCTTGTAAGATCCATAGCAATGTGACTTGCTGGTAGGCTGGCAGAAAAAGCAAGCATCCATAGTGGCTCTAGAAGCCAATGTGACATCTTCTCAGTCTTACTATGTTAACACAAACGTAAGCTATTTTTACTAATCCTCATCTGGTTCTTTCTCACCTTTTTCATTGGAATTTAACTAGAAATTGTCTTAAGAAAGGCACTATCTTGACAGTTATCTTTCGTATTTAATGTTTTACACATCTTTGCACCAGTGGATAAATAACTACTCTTTACAAATGAATGAAAGAATTGGGATATAAGGTCTTCTTTAGGCTCAATGAAAGCAATGCAGAACAGCCTCAGTGGCAGTCAGAATGACAGAAATTACACACATATATGTATTTCATCCTGATCCTGCATGATTGTGATTTCTCCTGCTGGTATCTATGTTTTCTGAAAGCTTTTCTGGATGTAGCTGAGAGATTATATATTTGTTAAGTTGATATTTATTAATTTACTTTTTATTTCATGGATCAGTTATGTCTGAGCAACTGTGGGTAACAACTGTCTGAATAGTCAAATTCTAGTTTATCTGGTGAAATTTCAAAGATTTTGTAAAATTTATACTTATGTAACACAGATTTGTCATCTGCTGGCTTATGAAAAATAGCAAGCTTCTGAAGAACAATATAGTCACTAGGTCCTATCTTGCTAAGTAGGTGATGTTTTTATAGTCTACAGTGAAATATATTTCCTTGAATAATCTGCTCTGATCATTATGAAAATTATTGTTTTCATGATGTCATTCTTATCTTTATTCAATGAAGTTCAAATAGAAATGGGCCTGGGAAAGGTCATTATGTTGTTGCTAATCTTTTATATATCATGCTCTATGGACCATTGTGCAGGTGAACAGCTTTTTAAAAAGACTGGCTATAAAGCACAGGGATGTCAGATCATCTTCTCTAGGCTCCCTGAAAGGAATTTTGGGGCATTTCTAGCACTAGGAAGAATGACAGGGAGAACATGTACTTCAATCTTGTTCCAACATGGTTTTGATTTCTTCCACTAGGTTTCCATATATTGAAAACTTTTATTCCATATAGTTAGGAAATTATAAGTACTTGGAATGAAGACACCTATTAAAATGTTTATGGATCAGTATTATGTCTGGGTAACTGAGGGCAAAAGCTCCCTTTGTCATGATACTCTAGCTCTAGTGCAATTTACTCCCAGAATTCTCAAGGACATTTTGAGGTCTGTATTTGTAGTACAAGAATTTGTTACCTATTAGTTTATGAAGGAGAGTGAGCTTCTAATGCAAGCTCTGACCATCAGGTATTCTAAGATATCAGTAGGAGGTGAATTTTTACAAACTGTTGTAAGTGATTATGTTGCAGTTTCTACTACTTCCTTACAAAATTTGCATTGATCACGAAGTCTGAACTCTGAAAAAGTAACCTTTCTGTAATTTCTGGTGGTAAAACCTGTACTTTCATCCCTATCATAAATCCCTTTCTGTAAACAAATCCTTGAGACTCAGCCATCTGTTAAGTGCTTCTTGATATACTCTTGGTTGAATTCATGTGGATGTTGCTGATTGTGAGCCGTCTGCTTTCACTCTTGGATCTTAGCTGTTTCATAGACACATTTGGAGGTATGAATCACTTTTGGATACATCTGACCCACCGAGTGGCAAGTCCCTATTGTTAGCTCTTACTAGCACTCTTTGAAGCGATGTTAGTTCCATAAACATTTTGGTTAAGTTTTTAACCTGTTAATCATCTGTTCTGAAAACATCTTTCATTCATTTTCCTCCTTATTGATGAGGAAGTGTTAAACTTTTCATGGCTACCCTGGGGTGACAGCCCCCTGCGTTTGGTTCATATTGTGGGAGTGACCATCATCATTATCATCATCTTATTAGTTTTGTTGATAGGACTGATAGAAACGGTCCGGCATCAAGTCATTCTCCTATTACTCTTTTACATCTGACATTCTACAGACTCTGGAAAGGTGGATAAAATAACTGTTCTTTGTTCAAGTTGAATAAAAGTACTAGCATACAAGCCATCCTCTTAGATTCACTGTAAACGTCCTCATATCCAGGCCTGAGTCTAAGCCATTTTCCAGGCTGCATGCAGGGGGAAACCACTTTCAGGTACATTGTACAAATTCAGTGGTAGTATCTATTATCAGTTTATATGATGGCATGTAACGTGCTTATTACTGTCAACTGCTTATTTCAAAAGTATTTCTATAGGTTTTTTTTTTAACATATTTATCATTTGTTTTGCAAAATATCTATCAATTTTCTTCCTCCTTTCTGGTGATGAAGTGTTTATCTTTTTATAGGTACCTCAGGATGATAGGCCCTGAATTTTGTCAAGAATGTATGGATTTTGTTTAGGATACTTTCCAAATCTGTTACTGTTCATTTTATAGTTTTGAAAATGGTCACTAAAATTGGTATTGTACAGGTATTAATTGCTTTCAATGTGTTCAGTTTTGATTTTATGCTGACAATAAGCCTCTTAACAAAGTCAGTCACAGCCTTTACTCCTAATGCATCTTGCCTGGAAGAAACCAAAATATCTGTAGATATTACCTTCATCCATTGATTCAATGGATTCAATTCAAATTCTTTCCTTGGTGTACATTAAGAATTTTGTACTTATTGTCTCCAACTGACACTCTGATAACAGTACAGAAAGATTCTATGAGACATCTAATGTCTTTCTCAGTGGAGCTATTACAGTGTAATATTACCACGTGCTTCAAATAACTAATAAGATGTTGTAGTTCAATTCACTCTTGAATTTGGAATACTGAAATTGTATTTTTATTTTGCTTTTTGACGAGGCAATGGGGTTAAGTGACTTGCCCCCGGGTCACACAGCTAGTAAGTGTCACGTATCTAAGGCCAGATTTGAACTTAGGTCCTCCTGACTCCAAGGCCAGAGCTCTATTCACTGTACCACCTAGCTACACCTGAAATTGTATTTAAGAGAGATAATAATGGATTTTAGAATATACAGAACCACGACGAGTTTAAATGGTCCCCTTGAAAATGCCATGTTTTATATCAATCATTCTTGACACTACTGCTTTGGCAGTATTTTAAAGAGAGTTTTCCATTTGGAATTTCAGGTACTCTAGTTTTCTGACAATACTGGGGTATATTTTTTATAATTGGCAGCATACAAATAAGCCATGAGTGAGGAACTGAGTCAAAAGCTATGTAATAATTAAAAGACATTATAAGTGTTAAGAGCTGTTAGGTAGCTTGTTCAACAATTACCAGAGCAATGAGTTGTTCTTTACAATGATCTCATAATTGTCAAATTTAATTGCCACCTCAGTCATCATCCTTCTTGACCTCTTTGCAACTTCTGACACTGTTCATCTTCTCTTCTGGATATTCTCTCCTCTCTGTTGTTTTGGGGTGTTTTTTTTTAACACTGCACTCTCCTGGTTTTCCTACCTGTCAGATGACTTCTGCTTTAGATCTTCCAGTAGATTATGCTCCCTAACCATGGGCGCTCCCCAACCATGGGTGCTCCCCAAGAGTCTATCTCTACACACTATCTTATGCCTCTAAATTACCTTGCCTGGTGTTCTCATCAGCTTCTATGGATTAAATGATCACCTCTAGGCAGATGATTCTCAAATCCACTTGTCTAACTTTAACCTTTCTCCTGACTTCCACTTTCATATCAACAACTGACTACATCTCAATTAGATGTCCCAAATACATCTTAAACCGAACATGTCCAGACCTGAAATCATTATATTTTTCTCCAAACTCTCCCCTCAACTCAACTTCCCTATCACTGTTGGGGCATCATCATTTTCTCAGTTACCAGGCTCATAAACTTGGTGTCACTTCTTCACCGCTCAACGACACTCACCTCACATTTTGAATATATTGCCAAATCTTATTCTTTCTACCTTAATTACCTCCCCTATCTGATGCTGAGTGAAGTGAGCAAAACCAGGAGAACACTGTACACAGTAACAGCCACGTTGTGTGATGACTAATATTGACAGACTTAACCCTTCTCAGCAATACAAGGATGAAAGACATCTCCAAAGGCCTCATGACGGAAAATGCTATCCACATCCAGGGAAAGACCTATGGAGTTGGAATGCAGATCGAAGCATACTATTTGCTATTTTTCTTCTTCTGTTGTGTTTTGTTTCCTCTTTCTGGTGGTTCCTCCTATTAGTTCTAATTCTTACTTATAGCATCACTAATGTGAAACTACATTTAATAGGAATGTATATGTATAGCCTATATCAGACTGTGTGCCGTCTTAAGGAGGGAGGTGGGGAAGGAGGGGGAGAAAAATTTAAACTCAAAATCATATTGAAGTGATTGTTGATAATTCAAAATAAATTAATTTAAAAAAAGAAGAAACAAAATATCTCTCCTACATAACCACTTTCTCCACTTACACAATCACCACGCTGGTGCAGGCCATCATCTTCTCATGCCTGGACTATGTCAATAGCCTTTTGGTTGGAAACCAAGCCCTGTCTCTCCATTCTATCCTCTGCTCAGTTGCTAAATTTATCTTCTTACAGCACAGGTCTGACCATGTCATCATCCTACTCACTAAACTCCAGTAGATCCCCATTACCTCCATAATTAAATATAAAATCCTCTTGTTTGACTTTTAAAGTCCTTCACAACCTAGTCCCTTCCAACCTTTCCAGTCTTCTTACACTTTACTCACCTCCACGTACTCTATGATCCAGTGTCCTTAGTCTTCGTTGGTTAAGACACTCCATCTCCCAAATCTATTTTCACTGACTACATCCCATACCCCACTCTCTCCTCTTCCTCACCTATGCCTCCTGGCTCCCCTCAAGACTAAGCTCAACTCTCACCCTTTTTTTTTTTGCTTCTTTTGGTGAGGCAATTGGGGTTAAGTGACTTGCCCATGGTCACGCAGCTAGTAAGCGTCAAGTGTCTCAGGCCAGATTTGAACTCAGGTTCTCCTGACTCCAAGGCCAGAGCTCTTCAACTCTCACCTTTTACAAGAAGTCTTTCTCCTTCCACTGCTAGTGCTTTCCCTCTGAGATTATTTTCCATCTATCCTATTTATGTCTTATATGTTCGTGAATGTTTGTGTGTTGTCTCCCCCATTAGAATGTGAGCCTTTTGAAGATAGGTAACTTGTTTTTGCCATTCATTCTGTATCCCCAGCACTTCTGTGCCTATCCAGAGGAAGTGGTTAATAAATACTTGTTCACTCAAAGACTCTAACCCCTGGGACTTCGTGTTACTCCTCTTTTTAATCCTCAGTCAATATATTATTTTCTCATGTATAGAGATCTTTTTTTAGTGATATAAGCTGAGAGTACTTTGTATTATCTAGTAATAAAATGCTTTCTATCAAGAAAGGTAGGATCAGGTTTGCAACTGAAAAGAAGCTGGTAAAATCTTTGCTAGTAATCCCTGTACGACTGTGAAGCATCTGAGGCAATATTGAAGGATCATATCTGGTCTGGCCATATCCCAGGTTTATAGAGAAGCTGAAATTTCTGTTTACTGCTACAGCAACAGTAATGAAGATAATTACAACTACAGCTAAAACTACATCTACTACCACTAAAATATTAAGGTGGCATAGTGGATAGAGACCTGATGTTGGAACTCTTAAGTCAAGACAACTTGGATTCCTGACAGTGTGACCCTGGGCAAGTCACTAAACTTCTCAGTATGACTGCCAACTCCCTAAGTATCTAAGTTGCAGAAGTGAAGAACTGTATCAGCAGAAAGTGTACTCATCTAGACCAATAAAAGCACAGATGTGGACAAAAAAACTATTATTAAAATGAGTATAATTATGCTTGTCCTACAAATATTAAAGGGCAGTCGTACATAAAACCTTTTACAAACCTTGAAACTACTCTATAAATCTATTTATCATTACAGTAATTCACCTTTATAAAGCACTTTTAAAAGTTTATAAGAATGCAAATTCTTTAATTCTCAAAATTCAGATATCTCAGATCAGTCACTAATATTTCACCTGATTCTTAACCCATTCACCTCCCCAGGTATCAACTCTATAAATCATATGTATAAATCATATGCTGCTGAAAGATTTGTTAAAAACAAGTTATCACTACAATTATTAGTTTACATTATTGAAAAACATGTCACCTGGATTAACAATCAGACTAGAAAATCCATCATTATACAGAAAGCTGGAGGTACCTTTATCACTACTTTGAATTCTAAAGATCAGAAAATTTTTGTGTGCTCAAGTCAAAGGGCAGTCATGTTCCCTTTTACTGACATGGCTAACAGGTAAAAATGCATTATTCAGAAAATCTGTCAGGACAAGCACCACCACGCTAGACTCCCCCTCACTTTCTCTTAACTAAGCTAAACTCAATCTCAACTAAATGGTCACTTCCTCTCTAAGCACTGTGGTGGAAAGAAAAGAACAATGAGCCTAGAGGCAAGACAATGGGGTTCAAGTCCTGGCTTTATCACTAGATATGACCGTGAACATTAGAATCCTCATCTATCAATGAAAAAAAAAAGACACTCTAACCCACAGGGTTGTTAAGAAAATGCTATGTAAACACTAAAATATAATATAAATGAGGTATTCTTATAATTCAAAACCGAACATTGAATTTTTCACCAACTGCTGGTATAGGCGTATACTATATAACAAAACACCTAAACTACAGTTCCAAACTTACTGCTTCTACGAGCTCAGCTATGGAACAGCCCACAAGGGACATGAGAATAACCCATCACTTTCCCCCATCCCCACTGCCCTGCACTCTTGCCGCCGTGCCTTTGTCCACGATGTCTCCTATTCTAAGTATCTCTACCTCACTGACAACTGAATTTCTATCCATCCTTTGAAGTCCAACTCAAATGTCCCTGCTAAGAAAGTTTTCTCTAATCTCTCCTGTAAGTAGCAATCCCCTTGAGATTTCACATAGCATTGGGTTTTGCACCTCTCCACCGCACTTATCCTGCAACAGTGTGTATTATTCCTAAGAATGTATGTGCTATCCTTGAACTCAACTCTAAGCATCTTGAGAACAAGGACTTTGTCCCATTGTCTCATATGAACTTTATATCTGCCCAATGGCCAGCACAATACTTTATATACAATAGAATACATAATAATTCAATCTGTTATACTATGTTTTATGAATCAGGGAAAGCCAGGTTCTCTTCCATAACTCACCTTTTGCAAATCAACAGAAAGCTGCTGAATGAACATTTGTAGTTCCTTTTCCCTCTGCTCCAAAGTAGTGATCTTACTTTCTGCACCTGTTTCTGCAGCTAATAAGTGATCCCTTAATTGGAAAAGAAAACACACAGAGCATGTAATGAGCATATCTGGATAACTCAGCTAAAACATGTTCTGCATGCAAAAACCTCAAGCTCATCTGAAACACAACTAACTGAGAAATTACTCCCTTTGTTTTCCTTAAAAGAGGATACAAGAAGAGACGGGGCCCAACTACGCAGTTGTGAGAAATTCTGATCTAGCTTCACTGGCAGAGACAAATGCTTACTCAACACTGATCAAAAAATAAGCCATTACACTGCAGGGAAAGAGGGAGCTCAATCTACAGCCATCCTGTGATCCCAGGCTCAACTAGATTCGCTGTCACAACAAACCTAGAACCAAATGCTGAACCCATTTATGAGGCACAGGGAAGGCAGAATTAATTCAGTCCCTCTGGAATGGACTGAACTCAAAGAATATTACAAGGTGAAACTGGGAAAAGACTATAGGCCAGCTAAGTTCAGAACGGCATCAAAAAAAATGCCCATCAGTCCCACAGACCAAGCAATAACCTCTGTTCTTCCAGCGCTGAATACTGCCTCTGCAACATCTCCAGCTCACAGCTTAAATTTGAAGAGACCTGACTAGAGGCCAACAGTTCTTCTTGTGCATGACTCAGTTCTCTTGTTCTAGCTTCCATTTCCTGTTCCATTTTTGCCAGACTTTCTTCCTTTTTCAAAAGCTTTCAAGATGCAAAATAAAGAATACACATAATGGCTATAATAAAGTCAACAAAAATAATACTAAAAGGCAGCTAAACTCAATTTACATGCAATGTACAACTCTGGACTCAGAGAACACGTGATGAAACACACTTCCCAGTTTTTAGTACAGAGCTGAGAACCATGGCTACAAAATGTTGTATAAACTTTTTTTTTTTTGCTTAATTGTTTTTCTTCATTATAATGAAGAGTTCTTTGGGTTACGGAACTTTATTGGGAGATGACAGCATGTAAAAATCATCATTAAATTTTTTAAAGCTATTAAGATGTTAACGTTTAGAGTAAACATGGATTGATGCTAAGAGACCACTTGAATAGTAATTTTTTTTTGTTTGTTTTTTGTTTTTTTTGGCTAGGCAATGGGGTTAAGTGACTTGCCCAGGGTCACACAGCTAGTAAGTGTTATGTGTCTGAGGCCGGATTTGAACTCAAGGAAAAAAAAATCTAAGCAAGGTAAACTTACAAGCCTCAAAGGAAATTATATAATATATATGCACAACAATTTTATATAGTCTTTTGGTGAATCAATTGTAGTGCAAAAAAGACAAGCATTTCACACAGAAATACCTTCCTGTCCATGAAAGATTTTCAGTGTATATGAACAAAAATGAATATGTACCAACAATTAAAAAAACTTGAATGGCAATGTTCTAGAGTAACTAGTGGTGTTTATTTTAACTTTCATCAGGTAAGATTAATCTCTTCACAAACATTTTATTAACTGAGTACTAGATGTACTTAACAGAAATGCTTACCATGTGCTTGACTTTAGCCAGCTCCTGCTGCTGGAATCCCTCTAATTCATCAATTTCGTCCCTCTTTTGGAACAGATTCAAACTTTGGTTCTTCATTTCCTGTAACTGAGCTGTCAACAGCCTTTTATCCTATTTGAAAGAACAAGATACTATTCTAGACACTAAGATAGAGGAAGTGGGTTGTTTTTTTTTTCTGCAAAAAGAATTCTTACCTAAAGAAAAGTCCCTAGAGGAATATTCTATGTTAACAGCTTTATAATATTAACAGCTTTTTAATATTTTATGTTAACCATAGAATTATAACTGTGACCAAGACTTAATAATTAGCAATAATGTTCAATTAATAAGTAATTTTATAAAATAGCCAGTGAAGAAGTAGATGAAGACCAAGACTCTTTGAAGCATTTAGACAATTAAATTTGACCAGCAGTTCCAAATAGCCATTTCCCTTCTCCATTCACAATGACATTTTGAACTTGTTGACTAATAACTAGATCAAGACGGAATGCCTTTAAAAATTGTAATATATTCAAGCGGAACTCTAGCTAAACTGATAACAATTAGACACAAATGGTGTCAGCAAGCCAAATTTGTTGACCAACAATTGCTGTAAAGGATCACAAATGTACACGTTATTTCTACCTCTAATTTTAAAAGATATTAAATTCATCTATAAGATTTATTATTGCCTACATTCATAGTGGTTTAAAAGTCCTAGAAAAGCATTTTCATTGCCCTATAATTAGCCCCAAAGATAATTTTTCTTAAAATCAAATGAAGGGAACCCAGGTCTGACCCTATTTAGCATATCTCCTGCTACTTTAGGAATACAAAAATAAAGTCTAGTTCATTAACTTAACTCAGTGGTTTTCAATATTTTAAAAACTACAACTTTTACATTTCTTTTAGCTTTAGAATATCTGACCTAAGTAATCTCTTTACCTAAGTGGGCAATCATCATCAAAACTTGTGGTTTTATTGAGTGAGTGATTTGCAACTATGTTCCACAAAACCTCAATACCCCACGTCACAGGAATTCATTAAGAAAAATTAGTTGGTAATGATGTTTTCTCACGCAAAAAATCAAGTTACGCAGCTATCAAAAATAACAATTATGGGTGGCAGACTTGGCATATGAAAATACCCAAGACTAACTGGAGAAGGAGAACTTTTGAGGATAACGTCTCCTCTTTTGCTTTAAAATTTCTCTGGCCAATCTTTTATTCTAGGACCTAAAGGCCAGCGTTAGTAGATTCCACCATATTTCTATCTGTGTTCTGTGTTTGGGAATTAGTTTGGGAAACAATGTGTTAAAGTATGAGCTATTACTGATAAGGAAAGATAAGGGAGAAAACAATTTCAGAAAGCCCCTAGCTTAGCTCATTGCAAATTATGTAGTATTCAAACCTAGTTTCTGATAAACAAGAGTTGCTGTGGATGGATTTTAGGTCTGGCTACCTTATGCTAGAAGGTAAGGGAAGATTTCAATCCTTCTCTATATTTGAAGAAAAGGTATGTTCAGTGAGAATGAAGAAAGGATTAGTAGCAGAACATGTAGATAGTTGATGTCACTGATTATCTGAAATTAAAAATGTTTTTTCCATCCTAGGTTTGAAAGCAAACCTTGTCTCCATCAGAGAGCTAAAAAGAAACATCTTAAAGACTGAAGAGGACACTTCAGGGCCTGCCTAGGACTACTGGAGCAGTCAACTTTTCTGAACATTATCCAGTCAGGAGAGGTTCTTTTTCAGCAAGGTGATGCTGAGACCTCACAACACTCTCCACTCGGACTACTCTTCTAAGTATTCCCAATTTTAACTAATAAAAAACAAGAATACAAAGAGATTTACTAATCAGCTTTACCTCCTACAGGGGCGGCTCTGTCAATAATACTCATTCCTATGGTGCCTCATTTATTGCCAGCCAAAGAACAGATTTCATAAATCCAAAGTGACAAACACATAACTCTGAGAAAAATAAAAACACAACTCACTTTTTCAAGCTGAGCCAACTTCTCCGCCCATTCCTAAAAAAGACAAAACCACAAAAATGATTATAGTTTTAAAGAATAGCAAGGTCAAGATTTTGAGAAAAAAATCCTGTTACAAAACATTTAACTTGGCTTAAATTAAGAAACAAGTTATAACTGAAATAACAAAATGAACTTATGAAAGTTTGCAAAACGACAAAGGCTACAGATTCTTAACCAGCTACTGATACCAAAGCAAAAGCATGAACACTTAATTCTAGAAAGGTACATCTCACTTAACAACAGCTTTACTAAAACTTGAAATTAGGTAAAACATTGTTGCTGGGAAGTGAGAGTGGTTAACCCTATCGGAATAGCATTTTAATAAATACAGTAGCTGTAACAACATCACAACATAATTTCACATGTGGGATTTGGTTAAATAACTAGTAATGCTATTGCAATAATGTATTAGAGCAATGTTGTGTGGGGTATTACGCCCATACAATGTCCCAACTATCACAAGTCAAAAAACAAAGGTCAACCATATCATCATTTCACACACTAATGAGATCAAAAAAAAAGTTAAATCAATCCTGGAGACATTTTCCTATTAGCTATGTCCATGTCGTAATTTTTATGTCCTCTTTTCATTTTGCCAAACAGATGCTAGCACCAAGAAATAAAAGATTATATAGAGGACAGAAAGCTAGATCTGGAGTCAGGAAGACCCGAGTTCAAATCCAGTCTCAACACCTATTAGCTATCACTTAACCTGTCTGCCTCAGTTTCCTCATCTGTTAAAAAGAGGATAATAATAGTACCTACCTCCCAGGGTTGTTGTGAAGATAAAATGAGATAATATTTGTAAAGTGCTCTGCAACCTTAAAGCACTATTTGTTAGTTATTACAGGGAAGCAAACTTAAAAAAACAAAAACGACCTTAAAAATAGATTTTTTTTGCAGAGAAGCAAACTTAAACAACGTTAACTATCATTAACATTACGTCCCAATGGCCCATGACTGCAAACTCCCCACTTCACTCCAAAATACCACCTCCTTAAAATATAGTTGCAACTTATTTACTCAGATGTCACTGACAGAAAGAGTATTCCAAAAATAAACTGTTCAGAAGACTAAAGCTGACCATTTTAATCACCACAACTTTAACATTTTTAATCTGTTCTTGAAGAACATACCTCTTTATTTCCTTAAACAGAGTATACTGTGTGGCCATGGCTAATTAACTCTCTTAACCTCCCTCAAACTTCAGCATTCTAATTTGTAAAATAGAAATAATAACACTTGTAGTTCCCCCCCCCCCGCCAACAAGGTTATTATGAGAAATCGGATGAGATAATAAGTGCAAAGCACTTTCTAAAACTTCAAAACTCAATCCAAAAAAAACCAAACAAACAAACCACAAAGCCTCGTAATTTAATCTTTCTTTAATGGCTCTAAGCTGTCATTATAATCCATAATTTCTATACTAGGTTATGATAAAGCATTTTTTTTCTCTTCCCTTGCCACAAAGCTGATGGTTACTACTCCTTTTGCCACTGTGTCTGCCTCGTGTTTTTTCTAATCTACTGATGTCTTTAGTATTTTGTGTAAACTGAATCACTAAATATTGAATGATAGCTCAAAGGCTTCTCCTACAAAAGTGAACTGTAGGCATCTACTACTTGTGTTTTATAGAAACTATATAAACTGCTTACTTTCAAGTTTTAGGAGTACAAAAAAAAACATACTCATCTCACCAGCATAAATGAAAGTCTGACTTCCAGATAAGTGAGGATGCTACTAGGGTAGTATTTTCCTTCTCCACTCCATAAACCTGTAGCTGGAGATGGAAGAATCTCATTGGTCTTTTAGACCCTGGCACATATTTCACTACTAAAATCAGGTTGTTTTTTTTTCTTTTATACTATTTCCCCAACCCCAAGTCCAAAGATAAGTCACAGAATCTGCATAATAGTACAATTCCTTTTATCCTTAGCTATCATAAAAACATTTGTCATAATTCTGTAATACTACTAAATAAATAAATACAAATTTTTCGGTTGGGCCTAAGCCATGTATAAATTACCTGGTCCTTTTTTGCTAATGCCAAAGCCATTCCTTCTGCCATTTTGGCTCTGTTGGCTTGATATGTTTCATTCTGCTCTTGAAATTTCCTCATGGAAGCTGTTAACAGAGAGCCTTTATTAAAAAAGTGAGAATATTTCAGGAACAACCTGACTTAGACTGCACCAGAATTTACTTTAAGACATTCATCTACAGAAAGGTGGACACAACACAAGAAGATTATGGAAGCTGGAACTGAACTAGACTATGTTAATATTATTATTAACAAACATAATCTCCTAAGCTCAGTAATGTTCAGGTAGGTAGGTATTTATTCTGGAGGTCACTGGTGGTAATTAAATCAAGCATAAATTACACTAAGATAACATATTACCATTATCTCTACTACACTCAGCATCTCTCTCCTACGGTGCCCAAAGGACTTTAAAAATATTCTCTTTCATCAATCTAGGCAAATTTTACATTATCTTGTTAGGGGGAAGGCTATGTAGTGTACTACTTGGACTTGGAATGTGTAGACCTGGGTTCAAATAATGACTTTGTCATTGTTTAGGCAAGTCATATTTAGCCTCTTTGAAGCAAAGTTTCCTCACTGGTAAAATTAGACATAATAATCCCTATACTATTTAGTTCACAAGACCCTTACATTAATTATGTAAGGGATTTTGTAAACCTTAAAACCTAACATAAATGTAATCTATTATTACTATCATAACCACCAGAGGCTTCTATGTTAGAGATCAGGTCCCCAGTAGAGCTAAGACTAAAAGCCAGATCTCCTGAGACTATAGCTTAATCTCTTGTCCCTAAATGGCAACTGAGGGAAGCTAATAATCAACTTTAGGTTTTAACATACCAAGAAATCTGGCCCAGGGAAGATAACAATCACTCCCATCTATTCAACGTAAACATAAATTACACTTTCTGTCTAAAAAGGACATATTTGTGGTCAAATATTATACCAACTATATTGCTGGTTATATTACTTTCAAAGATTTCAATTTTTAAAGGGAAAAAATCTAGAATACTCTATTAAAAAAACCTTAGTCCTTAACCAACTGAAAAAAAAAAAGGAAAAGAATACGTACAATCCTGGTGTTTTTCTAATGCAATTTCAAGCTTCTCTTTTATCTTCTGCAAGTTTCGCACCTGTTCAGCATATTCTTGAGTAAGGAAGGGAGATGCACAGACCAGGAATGGACAAATATTAGGAAAGGAAATTTTTAAAATGAGTTGAAAACAATCATGATTTTCTGAAATTGAAAATCAAGTAAAGTTTCTCCTTAACAATGAGCAATACAAGCAAACAGTTCTACAACAAATTAATTATGGTACAAAATATTGAATGCAAACAGAAGATCCTACTTAGCTCAAAAGAACAACTACTGGCTCCAATTATCATGCTCTGCTACTAAAATAATTCATTTCAAAATTCATGACCCCATTTCTCTTTTTGGCTATATAAATGGGATAGCTGGCAACTCACTAAATAACCCATTTGCAGTCCACACTTTTACAGTCTTTCAAGACAGCTGAGCAAAACTACACGAGAGTAACATTCTGGCTCAGCTAACAGCATGCCAGTGTGACCTCAGAGTATAAATACTTAATACTTTAGGAATATGATGCTCTTGGCTCAGTAGAATCTGATCAACACTTGCCATATTCAAAGAGAAACATTAATATAAACTTAGAAATTCAGGGAAGTTTATTCATTTCCCAGCCTCCACAATAAAACCTAACTATACTTCAATGGGTAAATCATTCCTATAAAATCTATGTTGAACACTTAATTTTGTCTTTCCAATTTTCTGGAGTTTTTTTTTGGGGGGAGGGGTTTAGAAGGAAGGAAATGGAATAACATTATTTTGACTTTAAAGAAATATAAAATATGAGGGACAGCTAGGTGGCATAATGGATAGAGCACCAGCCCTGAAGTCAGGAGGACCTGAGTTCAAATCCAGCCTCAGACCAAACACTTGACACTTAACTAGCTGTGTGACCCTGGGCAAGTCCCTTAACCCCAACTGCCTCCAAATAAATAAATAAATGAAATATGAAATATGGTCTATTTTAATATTTCAATGATTTGTGATTTCATCAGTGTGGGTATTTCTTCCACTAATATAAATGGCAACTCCTCCATGCTTTAGTAGACAAAGGCTAAAAATAGTCATCACATATATGTCAAAACTCAAAGTGATGAGTCCCTTTACACTCAGCTAGGGTAGTCTTCTGACAACAAACTGATGATTTCTATGCTGGGTCCACACTAAGACCTTTCCAATTTGGTTAGACCCATCAGAGCTTGGGATCTGCTGAAATAACTTTCCAGAATCGAGGGCTGACCACCTCTATCCCAAGATAAAGTTTATAATAGGAAGTCTTTAATGGAAGATAGCCTTAGTAATAATGACATAAATGAATTCACTGTAAACCTATTAGTAAATTCCACAGTCTACCACTATAATCCTAATAAAAAGGGTATTAGATAAATACCATAAGACTGAAAGCACAAAAAACACAAGCCAAAAAAGATATTCCTAGAGTATCCAAAGAAGTAAAGTCTTTTAATAGCATCAGTGTGCAGTTATAACAGTATGAGACACTCTATTCACCAAGAAGAAATTGTACCTTACCGGACTGAGAAAGTAAAAGGAGTACTGAAAAAACTCTTAATTTTCCAACACGTTAATAATAGCTATCATCTGGAGACAAGTGTTGGAGTAAGAAAAATACCAATGGAAATTAAAGACGGAAATGTGTTACAAAGTTGCATAAAGTCATCAATGCCACACGAAAATATTCCCTGTTAGCAAGGAATCATACCTTGATTCCAAAATTTTTGTTAAGGAATACCCAGGTACATTTTAAAGACTTCCTTTCCTTTCTTGTTCAGAAGGTTTATCATTCCTTTTGCTTGCCATACTGCCTTCATTAATATTGCCTCTTCTTGGAGTGGTCTTGGGCAAAATGGCATATTTGTTTTAATGAACATTATAATGCCCCATACTTCCATGACTATGAGCCACTGTAACCAGTAAAGGTGGACTTAGATTTTCAATCTTTAAAATGTATACTAAGTAACTCTTGCCTTAACCTAAGGGGAAAAAAACCCCAAACCAGAGTAGTGAATTCACAGTTAATAGAATAATGCAAGGATATCAATTATTTCCTTTCTAGTCAGAAAGTCACAGAAATACAGAAAGAGCTACAAAAAGTATGTCTCCAGACTACCCCCACTCACATAAAAGAATAACTATATAACTATATATATATAAATATATATATATGTGTGTGTATATATATATATATATATATATATATATATATATATATATATATATATATATATATATATATATATATACGTATATATATATATATATATATATGCAGTTCAGGTGGTACACGACCTCTATAGGGTTCTCTACAGTACTGAATAATGGAAGCTATCTGTCTAAGCTCAATTGCTGAGGAAAAGAAAACTAACTTTCACAGCTTTAATAAAAAACAAAAATGTGAAAGAATTTGCTTACTTAGTTTTATGAAGATCAGTGTTGGCACACAAGCATCACTGTACAGATCTCATTAAAGCTGTATCCTACTTCAACGATCTTTGAGTTACTGATCTGGATGCTGCTTCCAACACATATTGTAATTCCTCCAAGTCTTATGAGAAGATTTCATAAACTGTTGTGGCCCAAAAAGTTCATCCCCAGGTGGTAACATTTGGATGATTAGCTTCTTGGCACTCATCTGGGTTGGTCCTCATCAAAGGACTAATACATGGTCCATGACTAGGCCTGAACTCAAATAAAAATCAGTTTTGCTTTAAATGTTTCTTGCCTTCAGCTAGTCCAACACAAGTACCACAATGCAGAACAACGAGGTTGAGAACGTGCGCCCTTCCTAAGTCCTTAGACAAAAGTTCACACTCTATTGCATGCATTCAGAAGCACAGTGTGGCTTAGCAGGTAGAAGGCCACCCTCTGAGTCAGGAAAACCTGGATTCATAACCTTTTCCCCTCTCATACTAGTTGTGTGACCCTGGGCAAGTCATTTAACCGCTTGGAGCCCTAGGCAGCTCTAAGACTATAATTTACAGATGAGTTGTCAATATGCATCAGTGGAAGGGAGTTTCTGCACTAGGAACATCCCCACACCTATGAGATCACAAGAAAAAAAAAGGACCTTTTTGTATGATTAAAATAATCTGTCCTGAGAGAATGATGTGTTTTCAAGATACCTCTGTTTTCATTTAGAAAAGAAATTGATAACACACCTGATAAACTAAGCCTTGTAAAGACAATCTCTAATTCAGATATAATCCAAATTATGATGTAGTTTAAATTTTTTGCCTTTTTGAGACACAAGGATGCTGTGTTCACTTTGTTACAAGTTAATGAACTTACCAGAAAGTTTGGCCTCTAGTTTCCTTATCTGTTCGTTTCTTCTAAATAGCTGGGATGAAAGGTCTTCTCGAGAACTGCTTCCATCTGAAGCCTGTCAGGTTATAAAAAACTGTAAATAATTTTTGAAAAATACTGTTCAAACATTTCTGGAGAGTCAAATGAGGAATAATTTTAAAGTAATTTTGAGAAGTAAACACTGAACCAGAAGTTCAGACACATCTACTTAAGGCAGGACTATGCTATTAACTATGTGACCTTAGCAAAGTCCTTTGGCTTCTTTGTTTTTCTGCCTGTAAAGTGGAAATAATACTACCTGTGTTCATCTACTTCATAGATCTTAGAAAGGGTTTGTGGATAAAGGGTTTGAGTTTGAATGTCTCTTTCACAAGGTCCCATAAGATATGTGACTCCTAGAATACAGACTGTTTAGAAGAAATCCACTGTAAACTCATAGACTAATAGAATGTTAGTGATAAATGAGATCACCTAGTTTTAGCTTTCTCACATTTGACAGGTGAGTAACATGAAGCCAAGAGAAGGAAGTGACCTAACTCAAGATCTTAAATTAAAATGGCAGAGCCAAAATATTTATATAAGGTATAAAATATGTTCACAGCAACAATCCTAAAAGTATGTTACTTCTTAATATTCTTTTCCAGAGCATCCAATCCTAAAAGAAATTTGGTGACACAAGAATTACTTTATCTACTTTAAATAAGGAGAAAAGACTAGGTCTACAACTAAGAAAACACCAATGATACTGACAGAAATTCTTGAGTCTGAGTTAACCTTACCCAAAAACTCAGACTGTTTTAACACATGAGGGAGACACAGGGGGAACTTCATTGTTGTTAGTGAATGATTCATTTTGGATACATAATTAATAGGGCAAATATATGAAGTCAAAAGCCCCAAAGAGAGATATTTCCCCAAGTACAGTTTCTAAGTATATGGATTTTTGTTACAAAACTCAGCCCTGATTTATTAGAAAAGACTGCTCTTGCTGCAATCAAGGAAAAATAGGGCTTGTGCCGGAGCATAAGTACTGGTAACTCTATGTTCTCCTGCCTGATGCACATGTGTACTTGTATTTCCTGTTATACCTGGCAGCCAAAGCAAACTCAAGTCTAGAAGCCTGTTGAAGTATACCTACGATGTACAATAACAACCACTGCCTTGTAATTCAACCCAGGATCCAGATGGCATAAAAATGGGAAGAGTCATCTGACTTGAAAGACCGCTTCAGTCACTCAACAAAGGAACTCTGTAATCCACAAGAATATCATTTCCTTAAATGCACTGACTTCTTACTTTTTCAGTGTTTTTAACTACAAATTAGTTTTAAGATTAAAGAAACGTGCCCATTCCACCTTCTCTGCTAAAATCACAACTGACAAGCTTAGCAATTCAATGAGAAAGAATGCAGGGTGGATAGACAAATAGTTAATACATCTAGTCTCTCTTATACCATTATGTCCAGTATTCATAAAAAATAATAAGTGACATTCAAAATGAATACACCTGAGGAAATAATAGCCAGGGGCACACACTTTTCAGAGTCCAAGAGGAATATGGAAAACATAGAGAATCTCAGAATTGGGATAGGCCTCAGAAGACATTTAGTCCAAACCGTAACAGACCAAAAACGCCCTCTAAACCATTCTGAACAAGCGAATATCCAATCTTTTATTTATGAATTTCTGTGAAGAGGCTCCCATTACCTCCTAAGGCAGTCCATTCTATTTTTCGGTCCTGTTAGGAAGTTTTTCCCAACATTAAACCTAAAAGAGGGTGATCTACTCAAAACTAAGAGAAAAATCCCTGAATAAGAACAATAAGAGTGAGACTTAAACTGTTTATGTGGCTAAAATTACCGAATCAAATAAAAGTATGTAGAGAGCAAAGGGAAACATCAAAACAATCCTCTAAGGCATTAAGAAAAACATTTACAAGACCATACCCATGGGTCATGCTAAATAACCAAAAGAAAGAAGAGCTACTTACAAAGTCATCTCCTGAGTCAGCCCCCACAGAAGCAACTGACTCCTTGCTGACAGACCTTGGGATTCGTGTAGCTCCTCCTGGCCGTGGTGCAATGGCAGCCTCCTCTGCAATCTTCTTTTTAAGTCTGGCAAACATTTTCCACAGTAGGGATACCCTCTCTGGCTTCTCCCCCAAAACCTGAACTAAACCAAAGCAATGGTACCCTAGAATCTACTGGAAAATCACTGATGGGCCATCAAGAAGCTCCAGCTGCCAAAATTTCCATTTAAACCTGATGAACTTCCCAAACCCTCCAAGGGTTCAAGACATCACAGTTATCTAAACAAAGCAAAAAAAAGAGAGTTCTGAGCTGTGGACATCTTTTTTGGAGGGTGTGGGGGGGGTTGAGGGTAGGTTTGAACTTCAGGCTTCAGGTTTTAGACAGATAATTAAAAGAATACAGTTAACAACATGAAATTAACAAATATAAATGGATGAAACTACTTAGGTAACCAAAAAAGCTGTAATACATTTATCATTTATTCAAATTATTCAAGATATAAAACTAAAGATAACAAGTTGACCTAGACAGCCATCTGTAATTTAACTACTTCAGTGGTGAAGGAAAGGAATAGAGAGCTAAGCAATGATTTGAGGCATATACAGAAGCTCTGGATAGTTTTTAATTAGATGTCCCTTCCTTCAAGGCTGGTATCCCAGAGGTAAGCAGGTAAGAAATATGATTCAGGCATCAGAACTCTATACATGTTTTCAGTGAATGCTACCAACCATATGATTACTTTTCCTTAAGTAATCTGATAAAGATTACCCCAAACTACACTTTTCATTCCTGTGGCAGAAATAACATATTCATACAACACCTCAGATTTAGATCTCTTCCCTCCCACTAGTCTGAAGAACATCAATACTGAGTTCTAATCATCACCTTTCTTGTGTGTGAAGGATTATTATTGCCAAACTTTGTTCTGAGAACGTGACACAAATATGAAGATGATCTTTCTTACCACGCACTATTCATTTGCACTTGTGCAATTTGGCAAAATTCTACAATCTATTTCATCTTCAACTATTTTGAATCACTCACTCACCTGTTATCTACCAGACTTAAAATCAGCTTCCTTGCTACTGCATTCTGTCCTGTGTGAAGAAGGCAAAGACAAAATACATTTGATGTTTCCTCTACCAATTTTAATTCAGAGGAAACATACACAGAAACACAACATATAGTACTATCCCATTTCACATTTTTGTACAATAGTCTTATCTGCCCAGTTCTTCTGTTAGCTGATCAAAAAATATTAACTTTATTTTCCATAGGATCATAGAACTTAGGGCTGGAAAGATTCCTCGAGCCCGACATCCTCATATTAAAGATAAAGAAACTGAGCCCCAGGAGGTGATATGTCCAAAGCCACACAGCTAATAAGCAGAAGATTCATGACTCAACGCTAAATCTTTTGATTAGGAAACCCAGTGTTCTTTTTACTATATTACGATGTTGTCAGTTCCTGATTCTACCTTCCAAACTTTGAAGAGGAAGAAAAGGGACAGGATTACAAAAAAAAAAACACATACACACACAAAAATGAAATAAGGTAGAATCCACTGGCCAGAACCTACTTCCTAGTTTGTTCTGACAAGTCACAAAGGTCATGTAACAAGCTGATTATGCTTCTTGATGCTGGTCTGCCATTCTCGCCCAGGCTCACATTTAGAATGCCTCTGAGAAGTGCAACCCTAAATTTAATGAAGCCTGAAGTCTATACAGAAACACCCCAAGTGGGAAAGAACTGCTGACATTTGCAATCCTGTTCATCCATCATCTTTTCGCCCTCCTCTATCAAGGGGTTAACCAATTAGGGCTAGAAGTGACCTCCTACCAATCTAATCCAATCTTCCCATTATGCAAAGGAGGGAAGAAGGGATCTGCCCAACTGACAGAGGCAGACTCTGGAACTCGGGCCAGGTTTTCTGACAGCAGACCCAGAACTATTTTCAGTACAACTCAGTCTCGAGAGTTTAGGAATGAGCAGGGATCACTTCAGGACAAACAAGCTCGGCCTCCTGCAGAACGGCGAGAGCCTGACAGGCCCTCCAGACCACCAAGCCCACCCCGCCCCCACCATTTAACAGACTGGGAGACTGAGGCCCGAGGAGGCGAAGTGACTTGCCCAGGGTGACACCGGGAGGCGGTGGCGGGGCCGGGGCTGCGGTGTAGTCCTCCGGGTTCCCAGGAGGGACCTCCTTCTAGACCCGCGGGCAGACCACCCCCGTCCGGCTCCCAGCGCGAAGCAGGGACGGGGCGGGGGGCGGGGAGCGGGGAGCCAGGGCGGCTCCGGAGGGCTCCCGGTGCGCAGCTCGGGGTCCTCTCGGGGGGGGATCCCTCAGCCCGCCCGCTTGCCGCGGACACCCGGCCTGACCAGGGGCTCCTGCTCCGGGCCCGCGCACCTGTGGCTCGCACCGACTCGGCCCAAGCCCCTGTCTCCCAGGAGGAGAGGAAGGGGGTGGCGGCTGCGGCAACTTCCGGAACCCAGTCCCCAGAGCCCCGAAGGAGGCGTCAGCAGCACCTCCGAGGAGACCGCAGCCCCGGACCCGGAAGCGCAGCAGGCGGCACCGGAAGTGACTGTGACGGCCCAGGAGCGACGCGAGGGCTCTGCGCCTGCGCTGCAAGCCCCCCTAGGTGGCTAACCCGGTTCCCTTCTTTTCCCCTCGCCACTTTTTTTTCTGGCTTGAGTGGAGTGGGACTACACGTCGACGCGAGCCTGGCGAGGACTGTTAAACGGCACGGTCCCGTGGAGCGACTAGGCGCGTGCGCGGCTGGCGGGGCCACGTCAGCGGAGTGGAACTCGGTGGTCTCGGGGGACGTCACCGGGTGTTCCCAGTGACGTGACTCGGAGGGAAGAAAAGGGTGAGCTGGCGCTGGACCTCAGTTTTCCCATGTGTAAAATGGGATAATAGTTGGGAAAACGAGGGTCTGGCGCTCCCACACGCTTGTAGAGGAATGCATTGGTCTGAGCATTCGAGAAAACACTTGGAAATGGCACAGAAAGAATCAGTAAACTCAATCGATGTGTTGGTTTTGCAGAACTACTTCTTTCCTCTTATTGCCTGTGGGCAGGGTTGGGTCTCTGGTTACGTGTCTGAGAGAAATAGTTTTGAAAATGAAAGTGATGTCCAAAGATATAGACGAAATGTATTGCAATCAAATAGAAACAATGAATTTGAGGAATTCAAGCAGGGAAATATAAATTGAATCGGTGAAGCAAGCAGAACCAGGAAAACTACGAATGTCTACAGCAATGTTAACAGAAAGAACAACAAAAACCTCTAGTACTATGCAACTTATAATAACCAAACTTACCAACCCAACTCGCAAGAGAAAATGTACTCTCCTCCCTTCTTTGCAGAGGGGTGGAATAATGGGTACGAAACATCCACCCTTGTCAGATTCTGCTGATGTGTTGGGTAGTTTTGCTGAATTTTTTCTTTTTTTTTTTTATGCTTTATTACAAAGAATGTTTCCTTGGGTAAGGGAGAGAAGAAGAAATTCTTCACAAGTGAAGGTGATATGAAAACAAAAGATAAAAAAATGTTAAGATATCAATAAAATTTATAAATACTATTCGCCCCATCCCTCATAGTTAACAGCCAAACTGTTCTACTCTAAAGGCCTGTCTGAGGTGGTAAGCTGAGCTCTTGGCACAAATAAAACCCAGTTAGTGTGAATGAGTTCCACATTTGTCTCCCTAGGAGCATACAGAGAACAGTGAACTCAACAAATATTTACTAAGTACGAACTATATCCAATGCACTGTGTTCAGCACTTTAGAAGCAAAGACAAAAAGCAAAAGACCCTACCTCCAGTTTTTAATTTAATGAGATATGTAAAAAAAATGTATATAGCATTATGAGGTTTGCAAAGCATTTTACATATGTTATTTCCTTTGATGCAACTCTGTGAAGTAGGTGCTACTATGATCCCCATTTTACAAATATGGAAATTGAGGCTGAGAGAGGTTAAAATCATGCATGACTTTGGGTAAGGTCACGCAGCTATTAAGTGCCAGAGGCAGGATTTTAACTCATCTTCCTCACTCCAAGTCCAACATTCTATCCACTGCCTACCTAATCTTCATACAACATGGAGGATTATGATGCCAGGTGGAAGATGGGGCAAAGGAAAGAGCCAAAGTGAGTCAAGAATAGTATCACAACTTCCTGAGGCTGGGGAAAAAAGTAAACTGGGTCTAGCAAGCTTTGATGTATTTCAGTAGGCAGAGCTCATTGGATCCTATGGTGTTTATACTGATATTTATGCCATTTCATGTTTATCATGTGGTGGAAAAAGGGTGTCCAGTCATTGGCTGAGGGAACTCCTACCAATTCAGATCAGCACCTCTTTAGCAAACTTATCTTAGATAACCAACTCTGTCTCTAGATGCAGACAGATAGGTTGGTTCCAACTTAGAATCTGATAATGTTGCTTGAGGCACTGAACAAAAGGTTAAGTGATTTATCTGGGGACTTCTGAGTCTAAGATCAGCACTCTAGCCACTACCCCTCAAAGTCTCTTATTATTTTATTTTATGGGGGAAGGGAAGAGGAGTTAGGGTGACAGCTACACTGTGTATAACTCTGGGTTCTTGAAGGCTACATCCACAGAATGCAAGCTCAAAACACATTAAGCTAGAAAGGTTTTGGATGTCAGTCTAGCAAAAGATGCCTTTTCTGTTGTCATGGCACCAGGCACCAGCCAGCTAAACGTTAAGGGTATCTTTAAGAAAAGTCTGGCCACCAAGGAATGCTTTTTTTTTTTTGCCACAGAAATTTATGAAACCATGTATTAATGTGAGTAGGTAGGTGGGTGGATCTCTCAGAAGAGGGAGCACCTACTGGAAATGAAATTACAGATCTCTTCAGAAATTTGGATTAAGTGAGAAGCTCAGAACTGACCAAGTACCAACACTTTAAGCAAATATGTTTATTTTTATATTGATAGTACACATAATATACGTGTGGATTCCAGATACAAAATTCATGTACAATAATAGTTCACAAATGATGAAGGTAGTCACATTCCTAGAGAACATTTATCAATGAGAAAATAGCTTTAATACACTGACAGCAAAAATCAAACCCTCCATAATCTTGTTATTCAATGCCATATAAACAGTACGATACCTAGCTTTTTTCAAGCACCCTGAATGCCACAGTCAGGAGCTTTTCAAAAGAACAAAATCCAGGAAAGACATGGTCCTGCTGCCATTAGCTCTGCAGAATCACAGTGTTTTACTTTTGAGTTCATTTACTGAAGTACAACGGTGAAAAGAGCGAAGCATAGACTACGAAATAGCAATAGCAACAGACTCAAGAGCTAGAAAAGTTATTCTGATGGGATGAAACAAACTGGAAACATTTGTTAAGGTTATGGCTTAAGCAACTGAGATGCATCAACAGACAAGGCCTATACAATATCACAAATGTAAGGTATCAGATTTTCATGTCAAATGTATGAACTGGTACTGACAAAGCAATATTTTCTTAGTTACTGGTAGCAAACATTCCCTCAAAATTGAATCTACTGACAACACATTATGAAATGAATGTATCCAGATAACTGCCACCTGATAGGACTAAATTGATGGGCTTGATTTTCAAGTCATTTTTTAAAAAACACATAATCCCTTAAATTTTAACACAAATGGACAAACAAGACAATGTATCAAAGATTACAAGACTGTGAATGCTAAGTAGGTTCTTACACTTACAGTTACATCATATGCACTACAGACTTGCAGCACTTAGAAAAGGATTGAAACATGTAAAATTTTTGTGCTTCAGTCTCTTCTAGAGAGCTCCTAAAAGATATACAGGTGTATAATCCTTATAACTTGTTTCACAATTCAGTAACATTTCAGTTATAGACAAGTATTTGCCACAGTAAAAAAAAGTCATTATTCACTAGGAAATCAAGTTATTATGATTTCCAAATATAATTTTATGTATATAAACAAAAAAGTGTATTTCTGCCTAACAACCACAGTATGCAAAAAAAGGTTCACAATAATTTCCATGAAAAACAGATCCATCTATATTTTTAGTCATCACATGGCTATCTTGAGCTTTAATGACAGTTTTACATGAATGAGGTAAAATCTTACTCAATTATTCCTTGTAGACTCTGGTGTACTATAAAGAACATTGACCAGTGTTCAAGTCCCTTGTTCTGTCACTTATTACATTTGTGATCTTAGACAAAGTCACATTATCTCTGAACTTGTTTCCTTATCTCAAAAATGTAGATATTTGGGGGCAGCTAGGTGGCGCAGTGGATAGAGTAACGGCCTTGGATTCAGGAGGACCTGAGTTCAAATCCAACCTCAGACACATAATGCTTATTAGCTGTGTGACCTTGGGCAAGTCACTTAACCCCACTGCCTAGCCAAAAAATATATAGATAGATGTTTGCCCTACTTACCTCAACAAGGCTGTCGTGAGGTTCACATGAGATAATGTATGTGAAAGTAATTTGAAAACCATAAAGTACTATGCAAATATGAGGGATGACAATTAACAGTGCCTGAATTTACCATAATTAATAGTTTAAACTATTCCTGATTCCTTAAAAACATTAAGTCCTAAACAAGTGATTAGACACAATCACCAAGATGAAGGTGGATAACCCAAGTACAAGTGACAACTTGCAATGAAAACAAAGATTCAGGGAAAGTCCTGGCAAGGTGGATCAGAGCTAGACTCAGAGTGAGGAATGCTTGGGTTCAAGACCTGTCTCTTATATTTTGAGTAACCTTGGGCCAGCTGTTAACCTTTCATTGCTGCAGGCAACTCTTTAAGACTATAAACTGCAAAGCAGATGATCATCTGAACTGATAGAGAAAGGGAGCTCCCTAAAATGGTGAAATAAATGGTGAAAAAAAGAGCAAAATGTTTTCAGAGTCTATGTCTCCATCACTTAAGGTCTTTCTACCTCAATTCTAACAATGTTCAAAATTTCTGATCCTGTTTCTTCATATGTAAAATAGGTTTAATAACTACCCTACTTATTTCATAGAGTTGTTGTGAGGAAAGTGCTTCATAAATCTCAGAGTATTACAGGTTGAAATGTAAATATTCTTTCTCTTCAGAATGGATTACTGCTATATGGCAAGATCAATGGAAGCCGAAAGCACCCAGGGAACCAGGCATGAGAGTCTAAGTGACTCTATAAAGAATACATTCAGGTCAGTATAAAATGCTGTGAAAAAAAAATTAAAATATTACATTAGAGGCATAAATAAGCAACTCTACATAATGACAATATAATAAATAGTCAAAAGCATAAAGCTTTTGGAATCAGGAAAAAAAAAGAAAAATCCTACTTTCTTGCTATCCTAGTCTTAGATATTGCTTCCATTATCTCTCCCTAAAACAGCTTTTTGCAATTCCTTTAATATGCTCTTAAGGAAGAAAAGGTAGAGGACATATTGGGTAAATTTATTTATTTTAACAAAATGGTCTTTTCTATTCAGGATTATCTCTTCTGGGGTTATCAACATGCATTTTTAAATGCTGGCCTGTTATATCAGTATACTTAGGAAGGTTTAAAATCTAGAGAACATAGCATTGGCATTTCTTAAGTTTTAAAATACTGGGGAAGAAGAAGATTCAGAATAGCCATAAAAGCAAATGGAAAATAGTATGGTGAAAAAAACTAAGTTTAAGATCTAACTTCTAGGAACAATGCCTAAAATGTTTCTTCATAAATTCTCTACAATCTCACTTTGAAAATGGTATAATGCAGGGCAAGAAGGTGGTGCAGTGGATGGAGGAATGGCCCTGGAGTTAGGAGGACCTGAGTTCAAATGTAGCCTCCACCACTTACTAGCTGTGTGACCCTGGGCAAGTCACTTAACCCCAACTGCCTCCCCCCACTAAAAAAAAAAATAATGGTACAGTATTGTAAGGGGCCGAATTATAAATTTTCATTCATGAGCTTGGAACCAAAAATCCCCAATGTCTTTTACTCTTTCTGTGTAAGACCAGTTACTATCTTGGGATATAAACCATGTCCAGTAAATGAAGAAAAAATTCCCTACTTAAAATTAGCCCCCACATCAAAAACAGCTTTAAGGAACTGTATCTGGCTTTTACAACAGACACAATGTAATATATCTATAGGAAAAACAGACCCTACTATGCAAACATCTTGTGTTTTAAAAATGTCATTGCTTATCAAACTGATAAAATATCAAAAGAAAAGATATATGAAATTTTAAAATGATACTTCAATCAAGTGTTCAGGTAACATTGTCAAATAGAAATGGAAACACTAATAAATTCAGTATTATACAACAATTTAAAAGTGAAAATAATCATAATAATCAAAATCATAAACATGTTTCATATATACAGTTTCAAAGAAAATGTTTCAATAATGCAGAAAATCAGCCCTACTTAATTTAAAATGTTTTTATTTTCCTAAAGATATTTTCCCCATAATTTTTCTTATTACTCTTTTCCTTGCTTCTCAGTAGGTGACTGTTATTTATGTACGCACATGGGTGCGCCCCTGTGTGCACACACACACGCACATACAGCCTTCCCCATCCTACAATAGTTTTATGCATACAAACCCTAATGAAGCCTGGACACATTATGAGTTTCATGTTTTTAACTCAAATGCAGGTGAAAAGGAAAGAAAAATCACCGTATTTGGGAGGAAATGGGGAGATAGCACCTACATTTACAAAGTACCAGTTTATAAAAGTACAGAAAACTATAATTAGAAAAGACAGACTTATTTTTTGAAGGGTATAGGATTTCAAATCTGTGTTCTACTAAATGCACAAAATAAGAACTGACATTCCAACTTTTGGGCCAAGGAATATATCACAATAGGAATTACCAGCCTACCTACCCAGTACTTTTTGTAGCTACTGTCTTCAAACTAAAATCCATACAGAAGGTGTACCATTTTCATGAAGCTAAATAAAATAACACCCACTCTTTTGGTATCCAATTGCAATGACTTACTTTTTCTTACAGAAACAAAATATGAATTAAACACTACAGACACTTTCACTAATTTGCAGGCATGTCAAATTCTAAAATTCCTTTATTAAGAAAAACTGCTAAGTATTTGAATCTTCACTTTCAATTATATTCTATAACTGAAAATGTTACAAAATTTTGGCTGTTCTGTTAGCACAGCAAAAAAATCAAGGATGACAATTTGGGAAACAAATTTCATCTCAATCAAGAAAAGAGGGTTGACTGATGTTTTATTTTGCAGGAAGTATTACTTTAATTTCTGCATCAAAAGCACCCCAAATGCAAAAGAAATATTGAGCATCTCTTGAACTATTCCATGCAAATATGCATGCTATCTAAAGATGGTGGTATCTTCCAAATAACTCAACACTGTAAGTCCAACTATATTCCAAGGCCTAAAATGGGTGTAAGTTCACAAAGCTATTCATTATTCTTGCTGAAGTCCTATTCTTTTCCTCTTCCGTTCCTGCTAGTTATCAAGAGCAGTATGTAGGATACTACACACGTAACACACGGGGGACCCTGTTTCAACTCTCAGCTTGTCATCCAAATGAAGGTACCAAACACCTTCATAGAGAAACTAACTTTCACACTGATTCTTTCTAACCATTGGAGACTAGCATGGTTCAGCTAAACACCCCTAATACCAACTTAAAATTGGTACTCAATTGCCATTTTTACTCTAATCAGAAGGATTTACAATGAAAAATGTCAAGATGGGTACACCCAACAAATGCATTGCTTCAGAACAAGCAGACTGGTGAAATTGCAGCTCACCTACCTTAAGTACTTTTTTCTAGGGTTATCTCAAGGAGAGCAGAAGCCTAAAGATAGCAAATGTCCTTTTCCCTGCCTCACAAAGACACACACAGGTAAAAAAACAAACCACAGGAATGAAGAAAAAATTAAATCCACTATCAGGTTTCAGTGCAGTTGGGAAATATTTTTTCCTTTTTTAAAGGAGAGGTGACCTTTCATATTCATCTATTCATCTTGGTTTATGATGAAATCACATGTTATCCACACTCCCATAATTAGTCTCTAATGGGTAACCTACTAAGTACAAAGTGATACCCTACACCAGATCAAGAAATAAGAGACTAATACAGTACCAGCACGTGCCTCCACTTAAGAAATGGATCTTCATTTCATATACCCAGTCTCCATAGGTTTATTTCACAAATTTATCAACAAATTAAATGAGAATTTCTGATGATTTCCAAACTGTGAAAGACCGGCTTTCTTGCTGAGATTGTCAGGTTCTAATTTTAATTCCCAAATTATTGACCCAAACATAAGCCCCTCAAAATAGAGGCTCTTGAAAGGGATACAGCCATAGCCTGTATGAGAACAGCATGGATGATGCCACTCTGATGTCCTCAATGAACGAAATAAATTCATGCCACAATAGCCATGTTGTATATAATATACACATACTGTGTCATTTCATACCAATGTATTTACAAATATATACACATATACATACATGTACACTCACAAGATTGCATCAAGCATCACAAAAATATATATACGTATATACCATTACAAGAAAAAGGATTTTAAAATAAATAAAGCCAACCATAGAACCACAGTCCCTCAAAAGGATACTGCTTACTTTCCCAACACGTGAATGCACACACACATATACACACATACAAACACACTCAACATGCCATAACCAACTAATAGGAAAGCCCTAGTATCATTCACATCAAAGTCAAAGTAATTTAGGTTCACCCTAAATCTGTTGTTGGAGCAATGGCAGGAACCAACTACAGTGAAGTGCCACGCATCTCCAGCTATCACTGTCCTGCACTCATTATGCTTTCAAATTCTGGAACTGAGTTGGGCTACACAGAGTAAGTGTTGATAAATTTCTGTTGAATTTAATGGAACACATCTCATTCTGATCAGTGTTGGCTACATACAACTTTGGTGCCAGTTCTCTCACAAGGAACTGTCAACACAATTGAATCCACTCTCTAAGGGCAATCAACTAGACAGAAAATAACTAACTCATAGTAAGCAAGGCATAACTGGCAGGAAGGAACTGGTTGAGAAAGTTCAATTACTGATCTATCCACAGGACCCACTCCGAACCAGGTGCACTCCTTCCATCAGTGTGACACAAATACAGTATACTTCTAATCTATTTCAGGGAATAAAAACATAAGGAAAAAAAGAGAAATGAATCCTATGAGAGAAAGTGATTGGGACTCAGGACTGCATGGTATTTTACAACTACAGTCTTTAAATGTTTCAGTTTCATAAAATTTATGGAAGGTACAAAAAGGTCAAATGTGCTGTGCTTTTTCGATTTTTAACTTCAAGTTCTTGAGAGTATCCACTTCCTTTTAGGAAATACACTTCAAGAAGGAATATAGCTCTGCTAAAAATAAATCCATGCAATTTTAAGTATGTCATTTTAATCCTAAGTAAAAAAAAAACCCAAAAACTTGCACATGTGTGCTGAGTCTTTAGTTTCTCAATTTCACCCAACTGTTTTTGAATAAGACAATGTTTTGTGCAATTTGACAAAAAAAAAACCTCATATATTCTAAAGCAAGTGCCACAGCTAAAAACTGCCAAAAAAAACCCCAACAACAAACAACTTTTCAAAAAGACACTATAGGAGTGTGTAGTCTAGTGGAAAAAATGCTGGGGTGATAGCATGTCCTAGGCTTTGGACCTAGCTCTATCACTAACCATGTTTGTGATTTTAAATGAGCATCAAAGACTCTAGGGTCCAGTTTCTTTACTTGGAAAACAGGAATAATACATATCTTATTTGCCTCAGAGTTATGAGAATAAAATGGGATTACCAATTAATTGAAAATACCATACAAATATCATTATTACTATAATTATTATGAAAATTAGTAGTAATAAACTATTGTGCTTGAAATTTGCTTTGCGGAGCCCTGATTTAGTAGTTTTTAGTATGTTTCCATTCTTTTCATGATTCCTCTCAAGATCCATTTAGAGATTAACTATTACCAAAGAGAAAACACAACTGCTACAAAGAAACAAACTATACCTTAACCCAAGGAGCAAAATTGTGCATCAGTCTTTGTTAGAGCAAGCGTGCCAAGACAAATCAGTTCTTATTGCTTGGTTATTGACCCTGGCTGGAGATTTCTAACACACCCAGGGCTTGGACTGCTTCTGGAGCATGAAAGGTAGTGTGTATGCATTTAGGTCACAAATGCTTCCTCAGAAAATCACTCTCTTTTGAAATGAGTAACTAATATCTTAGAATTATAGTGCTAGAAGAGACCTCATGGAGCACCTAGTACAACTCCATTTTGAAAAAAAAAAAAAAGAAACCAAGGCCTGGGAGAAATGACTGAAAAAGCTCAGTGTGAGTCAATCATGGCAACCAAAAAAAATATGTTGCAATCTTTGGAGTGCATTAAAAACAGCACAGTGTGCAGAATGGATAGATCAGTGCATGTATTGAGTTCCGGGCACCACATTTTATGCAGGATACTGACAAACAAGTACAGCTACAGGAGGGTGACTGGCATGGTGAGAGGATGTTAGAGCATGCCAGATGAGGATCTGAGTGACATCTAGCTTGGAGAAGAGACTTCTTTGGGGGAACCTGATGGCCAGTCTTCAAGGTTTTAGTTTTGTTCTGCCCATAACTAGGAGCATGAAATGGAAGTTGTAGAGACAGATTTAGGCTTCATAGAAAGGAACTTTCTAATAAGCAGTTCAAAAGCAGGATGAGTTGCCTCGGGAGGTAGTTGGTTCAGTGTCACCAGAGGTCTTCAAGTGAAAATCAGATCACTACTTGTTGGGGAAATTGTAGAGAAAATTCTTTTTCAGGTGTGGGTTGCATTAGATGACTCTTGAGCTCCAAATCAGATTTTAGGATTTGTCTCAAAGCTAACCAAAGGCCTGGCCCTGGAAGTCCAGGCTCCTGGCTCTGAGTCTAGTGTTCTTCAGATACACACCACAGATAGAACACTGCTCTGGGTAGGCTGTCTTTCAAACCCTGCCAATATGGGAAATGTGTTAAGGATATCTGTGTCTCAAAAGCTGGTTTGTTTTTTTAAAAATCACTGAATTGAGTTCAAGGGGCCAATGCCATCCTGTTTCTAAGTTCACAGTGCCAGGTGAAAAGCATTACAAAATGGAATCAGTTACTAAAAAAAGCCATCATTATCTGAGAAGGAAAAAGGATCCACTAAACACTGAATTCTTTCTTCAAAATAATTCACCTTTGCACATTTTAAAATGCTAAGGTTTTATAACTATTACCTAAATCTTCAATATTTCAAAGAAAAACCCAGCAAATTATAATTTCTATCTGAGGAATCTAAAACAGATTAACACAAACAAACTCTGGCATGGCTCTAAACAAGGTAACACCAAAGTAAATTTTCCCCTAGGGCGTATGTAACAAAAATAATCACTTGATTTGTTTCTTTCTAGGCTGAGGGAGACAGCACTAGGTCTATCCAGATAATGATATTAATAGGCATTTTGGCTGATAGATTTTCTGTCCTCTGCTTTTAGACTTAGAATATAGTACAATCAAAAGAATACAATAGGATAGCTCCATTCAATCCCAATGAGGGAAAAAAAGTTGATTCTTTGCTGGTGCCAATAGACAAATAAACTGTAACAGACGGAAACCAAATTCTCTTTAACAGCCTTCCCCCTCACAAAAAAAAAAGTGTGTGCGTGGATACAAAAGATCCCATATATACCAAACATTAATTTTCCCTCATCCCATTTTTCTCCCTTCTTCCCTATCTTCAGCCTTATATTTGAAACCATACAGATTTAGAGCTGGGCACAGACATGATTAAAACTTCAATCTTTTTCTATTTGCACCCTTGCAGCTAGAGATATCACAGATAAAAATTCAGTTTACAAATTTGGTCCTACTAGTTAAAGAGTTTAAATTTGCATTTTTCTGCCAACATCAATGTACTATGGAGCCAATAAGCATGACATTTTGCTAGAGAGGGCTTGTTACTCATATTGAAGTATTTTAGACGTGGTTCCCAAATGACTGGCAATATGAGAAAAGCTAGAAAATAAGACATACATACATGTGATGACAGAAAAAGATACATATAACTCTAATACATTGTCAGGTACCACCTCAAATTTTCAAGAAAAATTCAAACTCAGCAGCAAATTAATTATGGAAATCTAAAACTCTGAAAATATTTAAAGAAAGTGAATGATTAAAGGAGACAAATTCATACAAACTCAAAGAATCAGCCTTTTTTTCCCCCTCTTTAAATAATGATATTGAGTGAAAACAAGTGTTATGGAAGGGCTATGCTTTTGTTTTTCCTAGTATTGGTCTACGTTGATTGGGTTCATCTTTGTGAACAATTCTATATTTTTCCAAATCCAGACTTTTCAGGATAAAATATCACTGTTGGATTTTTCTCATCATACAAAAATAAATGATTTATTCTTCTCTGGGTGAGAGTGGTCACTGAATATGTGTTTGAATTTAGGACCAGTTGTTGGAGCTGGGACTCTTCAACCCCTAATAACAACAACAACAACAACAACAACAACAACTTTCAGGGTTATTCTAGCTTTTAAAAGATCGCAAAGATTGGATTACAAAAGTTACCCTATCTGTCAGAAGAATATTATTTTGAGTTGTCTGTAAAATGGTGGTCCTAAATTTAAAAATAAAAATTTAATGCCACTATGTATCATCACATTAAAAAACTGCACCATTTAAAATCTGTGGCTAATGAAACACAGTTTCAACAAGAGTTCAATTAATAGTCATCTATAGTATTCTCAAAGAACACGTTTCGCACATCTAGGATGGACGCCAGCTCCAAAATGTGCTTCTGAAGATGAGGGTTTTCAACTGTTTCATCCCTTGGCAGCTGAGGATATGTTTCTGGATAATTTCGGGTTTCCTGCTAGACAAAGGAGAGGAGTAAAATTTTATGATCTAATAAAGATAGATCATATACAAAAATTAATTAATATAAATGACTGCATTTCAAGCTTAGGACAATAAATTGTACCTCATCTTCCCATACATACAGGTAAATGTTCCTGTCAAGGGATTCACCCATGTTCTTCTATCACATCTTTGGTAACACTGTCAGAGACAGTGAATATAGCCAATTGTTTCCAGTCCAGGAAAGATCATGGACCAAGCTAGACCTGTAAAAGAGCAACTAGATGACCTTAGAAAGTTTTGCAAAGCCAAGAGGGTGGAATGTTAGGAAAGCAGTATAGTGAGCTCCCTTCCACTATACTCTAAACAGATCTAAAAAATACAGCCGACAGAATTCTGATGGGGAAGTCCAGAAAAAGTCACAGTAATTCATTTATGCAGCCCAGCTCAACACAGGGAGACAGACAGGGAAGTCTGCAGACATTGGGAATGGGGTCAGGCCAGGAACACACAACACACGGAGCACTCTGGTACCCAGGGAGAGACTGGGCACCAGGGCAAGAAAAGGTCACAGACCCATACCAGGATACTGCAACAGAGACAAGTGTGAACTAGTGACTTTTTCACCCACTGTCCAGTTCTAGGTCACACATTCAGAGAGTACTGAAAGGGATCTGCACAAAGGGATATAAGCATCTTTGGGTAGGGAGGCCCTAGGTGGTGTACTATGAAAGGAGAAGGGTGAGACGCAAGCAGTGTGGATCCCACCCTGAGGCAGAGCTGAGCCTGCATAAGAATAATAAGGCAGGAATTCCAAATTAAAAGAGAGCCTACAATTTTGCCACTCTGATCCAATAAGAGTTTTTTCAGTTGACTGACAAAGGCTGAATCCAGCAGCAGTATACTCTTGTTCAGATGCAGATCAAGAACTAGCAAAGCTCAAATGGGGGGAGGGGGGAAGAGGGGAGAGGGAACAAGAAGGGGAGGGCAGCAATCAGACTTTGCCCTTGATCACACAAACTTTGGTAGCACTGAAAGCTTGCAGGCCTCCAGCCTATCCCTAAAATTCTAGAATAACTCAACACTCAATAACCCAAGAATGCAACAACAGGAACAGCATTGGCCTTTCCTCCAGAAGCGCCAGAGTCTAACTCTGATATTAAATCTACAGCCACAAAGCAGGCTGAAAGAATAGACAAATAAAAAAAAAAAGAATCCTCCCATAAAGAACTATTATGGTGGCAGGGATAATCAAGACACAAACCTAGAAGAAAATGACTTCAAAACCTCTACAAGCAAAGCCCTCAGGGAAAAACAGTTTGGGTACAAACTCAATTAGAATTCTTGGAAGTGATGATTAAAGAGTTTTTAAACAGCTGAAAAATGTTTTTATAAATGAAATGAGAGCACTTAAAGAAAAAACTGGACAAGAAATGAAAGCTATGGAGGAGAAAATTGGAATGTGAATTAAGAGCTTAGCACAAGAGGTACAAAACCTTACCCAAGCAACAAATTCCACGAAAATTAGAATGAACTAAATAGAAGTCAAAGACTTCATGACACAACATGAAACAGTAATACGAAATAAAAAGAATGAAAAAAATAGAAGAAAATGTAAGGTGTCTCAAAGCAAACACAACTGACTTGGAAAGCAGATTAAGGAGATAAAAAAATTAAGAATCATTTGACTATATGAATACCATGAACAAAAAAAAGAACCTAGACATCCTGTTTCAAGAAATCTTTAAAAACAAAACTACCTACATGTCTTAGAAGCAGAATGCAAAATGAAAATAGAAAGAATCCACTAGTCACCCTCCTAAAAGAAATTCCCAAATGAAAATCCCTAAGAAAATCATAGCCAAAATCCAAAAGGTCAAAGAAAATCCAGGTCAAAGAAAAAATATTGCAAACAGAAAGAATTCAAGGACAGAAGAGCTATGGTCAAGATCATACAATATTTGGCAGCCACCATTATAAAGAAGAGGAAAACTTAGAAGACTGTATTTCAGAAGGCAAAGGATATGGGTTTACAGCCAAGAAGAACTTAGCCAGCAAAACTGAGTACCTAATTATCCCTTCCACATAGTGACTATCCCCATCACAATTTGGATATATCATTGGTCAGCATAAGAAATTAAATGGGAATTTTTTGGGAGTTTTGCAGAAGCTGCAGACAACACATGAAGGCTAGCAGACAACACATGAAGGCTAGCAGACAACATAGAAAAAGTTTAGAAACTCAGAAATACAAAAAAAATATGTATAGTATTGTATAATAGCAACCCAAATTTTACAAAAAGGTACTGTAAATACCCCATAAAAGAAAAAATTCAGACTTCTTCTGTGGTATGAAGGGAGGTCCAAAAAATTTTACGTGGATTTTCCAGATCAGGGGGGCATTACACTCCTAGCTCCCATGATGTGGAAAGGATAACTATAATAAAAGTAGGGAAAATGGACCTTTATTGATACAGAGGACTTCCAAGAAATCCTGATGAAAAATATCAGAGCAGCAGAGAAACTTTTAAATTTAAACAATGGAACAAAGAGAAACAGAAAAAGGCAGACAATGAAATACAAATGAATAATGATAAAGGACTGAACAAGGATAAACTGCTTACATTAAAATACAGGAAAATGATACATGTGTTCCCTCAGAACCCTATCATCATCAGGGGTCATAGAGGTGATTCATTTAGGCCTGGCAGTGATTCTGTTATTTCTTGATGATCTTAAGAAAAGAATGAAAAGCAAAGGGAAAAGGAATATACTGGTGCAGGAGGTGGGGGCAAGGGGGAGGTTAGGAAAGGAATGTTGGGGGAAATTATTTTTATATAATCGGTGTACAAAGACAGCCATCTATACAAAAAAGGAGGAGAGGGTGAGGGGTGTGGTAGAAACTTGAACCTTACTCTCATCTGAACTGTTTAAAAAAAAGGAGGAATACACACATATAATTGGGCACAAAAATAAATTTCATTCCACAGAGAAATACAAAGCAAAGGGGAGAAGCAGGGAGGGAGAATTAGAGGAAAACTAGATTAAAGGAGGGATTAGTCTTTTTTTTTTTTTTTTGCTTTTTGGTTTGTTTTTTTTTTGGGTGAGGCAATCAGGGTTAATTGACTTGCCCAGGGTCACACAGCTAGTAAGTTTCATATGTCTGAGGCTGGATTTGAACTCAGGTCCTCCTGACTCCAAGGCCAGAGCTCTATCTACTGTGCCACCTAGCTACCCCTGAGGGATTAGTTCTAAGAAAAACAAACTTTAAGAATGTTTAAAAATATTTACAGCTCTTTTTGAGGTGGGAAATAATGAAAATCTTACAGGTTGCCCATAAATTGGAGATTTGGTGAATAAGTAATAGTATAAAAATGTGATGGAACACTATTATGATGAACTCTTATCAGCATAATAATCAAACATGATTTCAGAAGACTAATAATAAAACGTACTACCTATATCCTGATAGGTGAATGCAGAATGTGGAATCAGACAAACATTTTTGGGACATGGACAATGTGTAAATTTGTTTTGATTGACTATTCATGTTTGTAATACATTTTATTTTTCTTGTGTGAAAAAGCAGATTTTGAATGATTAAAACAAATTTTTTTTCCTTTTTAAAAGGAAGTACCCAATCTGGAACTACTGGGTATTTAAAAATATACACACATATACACATATACATATATATAAAGATAACAGGATATCTAGATATATCTCCTGGCATCTTAATTATTTATCTATGGTAGCTTTTCTCATGCAAATAAACCCTCGAAAATACATATTTGTGGCATGGAGTTTTGACAATGGAGGCTGGAAGGAAAAGAGAGAACAGATGTTAGAATCAGGCATCCAGTTACAGTATTAGGGGCAGAATAAAGAGAAAGGTAATCAGGGATTGGGTATGGCGAATTTTTGAATCCACAGAGCCTATGCAGGTGCAGGGACTATGAAAGATCAGAAGGTTTGAGGCCTTAAATTAGAGTTGAGTAATCAAAGAAGATTTAGAAAGTGGCAAAGGCCGTGGAGCCATGGAAAAGCTCCATGGACAGATTGCAAAGAGGAGCTGATGCCCTAGGACTCTGAACAAGATAGAACAGTATCCAGGGTGAAATTCTTCCTATGTGATGACAGCAGTGGCTAATGAGGTAATTCATACGTTCTTGTAACAACTCCTGAGATTTAATAGGAATTTTTTTAATAGAAACTTTTTTAAAAGTACATATGCAATTAGGATTACTGTACAAAAACAATCCATAAAATAGATGAAACTAATGTATAATTGTATAGAAGCGAGAGCAGAGATAAAAAATAATTTATTTGAATTTATGTAAATTTAATCTGAATTTATGTAAATTAAGAAGACCCTAAAAACAATAAGTGCTCATTAAAATATATGGATAGCAAGAAAACCCTTACTTGCAAACTCTGATTTCTAAGTCCTTTATGAGCACTATGGAAATTCAAATTTAAACTTAAATGCAGAAACCATATGAGTCATCCTTAATAGTATCCATGTCAAGTGATCATTTATTTGGTCAATCCATTCAACTACTTTACCACAGAACTCAATTTCTTTCAAAGATTAGTGTGTAAGTTTTACATGCCTAATCTTATTAAAACAGTGCCCAAAGTGACTATTTTCTCTGCATACCCGAAAAATCTTGTGCATCCTCATGGTAGCTGAACAGAAGACAAATCTGGTGAGAAGCAAGCGAAGAAATTCATCCCCGAAAAACTGGAGAAAAGCCTGATCTGAAAAGAATAAAAAGGTGATGTTGGAAGAAAGCTTGACTAGAAAAAATTTAAAAAAAAAAGAAAAACTGGGGGAAAACTTCAATTTTCCTGTGTGTAACATATTAAATGACCATTTGAAAGTCAAACAAACTTAAAGTATCATGAGATTTAACCACCATTCCAAATTCTGGTAAATTGTGTCAAGAGGGTACCTATGGAACGTGAGTGGGTCAGCAGTTGGGCAATATCCCGGTTGATTTTTCGAAGGTACTCTTGACATTTTTCCCACAGACCTCTACGCATGCTTGACAATCCAGAGACAAACAGGAAGGCCATTAGAGGATTGTTCAGAAAGAGAGTGAAGAGGCTACCACGTTGAGACTGATCTGAAATAAGAAATAGGTTGCATTGGGAGAGAATGAACCAGGAAGACCATACAATTCTCTGTAATTCCAGGCTGTGTTATCCAAATGGTCTCAATCCTTTCATTCAAGCCAATGGAGACTACTTGCACACAAGAAAGACAAAATAGGCCCATAAGTAAACTCTCTATATCTTGTTTGTCCACATTCATCAACCTTAAACTATATGGTCTGCAGCTCTTCTCTCTATGCTTTAATATTTAAAGTTTACCTTTCTTATCTAACAGCTGAATAAGCCATTTTATTTAAATAGACAACATTTAATAGAATTTGTATACCTCCTTTCATGAATGCTGGAAACCTTTTTGCGTGCCCTCTTTTCTCAATTAAAAGTTATTTGACAAAGTACATGATAAAAAAAAAAACAGAGCATAGTGGCAAAAGCATTGGATTTGGAGTCAGACAGAAGATCTCTGTTTGAAACCTGGCTCTGTTACTTGTGTGACATTAGGTAAAACACTTTACATCCCTTGGCCTGTTTTCTCATATGTAGGATGAAAGGGCTGAATGAGATGATCTCCAAGCTCTCTGGCAACTTTAAAATTCTGTGATCCTATGAACCCAAACTGTGGATTACTTTTCAAAAATTCTGACAAAGTTAAATCTTGGGAGAGTTATTTGAACTAAAATATTATTGAAGTAATAGAAACAGGGTAACAGGTCCCCAGTAGGAGACTTTCACCATTGTTTTAAGGTAAGTTGTATCATTTAGTAGAATAGGTAATTTGATGCTTAGACAAATCTATTGAATGTTACTGCTATATGTTTTTCTAATAAAGAGCAGAACTTACCTTAAAACAACGGTGAAAAGTCTCCAGCTTCTCTCAGGCATTCAAATGCTGACCACCACTTCCTGTGTCAAACTATGTCAGCAGACTGGACTTCTGGCTGGGAAGTAGCAGTAAATTGCCATCTCTCACTGAGAGACACCAACACTATTCACAGTTAGGGAGACAGTGAAACAGTGAAGGTCCTGCTAAAACAGTTCTCAAAATCTCTCTGCTTTTGTTTCTAAGCTTTGTTTTGTGCTCATGTTGCCTCGTGCTAGAATGAATGAGCAGAATAAGACCTCACAGGTGTTGGCTGGTATTAGAGTGTATACAACCAGTGGATAAATTTGAATGTTTCTAATTTTCACACAGCCACATGATAAATGGGTAAAACACTCAGAGAGAGGGTCTCTTTACAACAAAAATGTAAAAAACAAAAATCAAAAATTCGCTTAAGTTCTGCCAATTTGGCTACGTGTTTAGGAGCCAGGTGAACTTCTTCAAGCCAAGATAAACATTTTAATAGTTTACATGGTGTGTCAAGAATATTGAGTAATCTCAGTAGAGACGGAAGAGATTATAGCTGTTGAACACAATATTAACTGACATAGACTCTCATTTTCCTTTTGTCTAAATTTTAGCTACATGAAAAAAAGTTCAATGCAGAGCAGTTTTTATGGGAAATGACTAGTTTAAAAAACAAAATGACATAGATAAAATTTAAATTAAAAGTTTACATGGGAGAGATGTAAAATCAAGGTGAATCTCTTGATTTTCAAAATAAATACCTCATAAACAAAAAGGCCATAAACCATGAAAATTTCCAAAACAGCAGAAGGCAAAAAAAAAAATCTAATGATAGTCAATATTTCTTCTAATAATATTGTATGGTATTTCTTGGAAGATAGCTAGCATACGGAAACTGGAGTATTGCCTAGACCCTCTGAATCAAAGAGTCTACTTTTAGCAAAGAGCTAAAATTTAGCAAATAACCTCATTGCTAAGCCAATTCTAGTCTGACATATGCCACGTATCTGTTTTTCATCAATGAGTGCTACACGTGTCCCTTAGAAAGGAAAATCAAGTTTAAAAATACAAAGCAAAAAAAACCCCAAAAAACAAACCAGTTTAAATTAGACCTAGGTATATCAGCACAAAACATACCTTGTAATGCTTTTGGATATGTTGTTGGAGAAAGCAAGCAGACTAGAGGTTGTCCGAACAAGTTTGTGAAATTCTGTAACATATAACAATTTAAAACAAGCATTAAGGCTCTGGCCAAAATTAGTTTCTCAGTAATATACCCAATGAACAAATTTGTTTCTCAATGATTAGTTACTTATAAACACACATAGCACATCAGAAACTAGAACATTAATAATGGAAAGGTCAAAATTTTACTTGGCTAGGAAAGTAACCTGTAACATTTTAAAAAAAAATCAGACCTGTGATTTCATTAGATTAGGGAACTCCTGATGAAATACAGCAGATTGGCACCTGCTTTGCTATTTATTTTCAGAGGAAGTTACCCAGGGCACTGAAAGTTAGGTGACTTGGCCAGGGTTACAAAGCCAGGATATGTCTGAGGCAGAACTTCTTGAACCCAGGACTTCTTGGCTCTGAGGTTTGGTCTATGCCAAGCTATCTATTCCAGTCTGCCTGTAGTCTTAAACATAATAGATACTTATTCATAGGATCATAGATTTAAAGTTGAAAAGGACCTTAGATGCTAAAGCCCTCATTTTATAAAGAAACTGTGGGCAAGGGAGATGAAGTTACAAACTTGAGGTCAAACAGGTAGCAAATCACAGAGAAGAGACTTGAATCAAACTAGGATTTGAACCAAATTCCTCTGGATCTTAATCTTAGCATCCTTTTTTCTATATCACACTATGTCCTATTATTAAATTTTTCTGATATAATTATGATCCAAATGCTCTGATGAACTAGAAATCTAGGGGAAAAAAGTAGGAAAAGTAAAGTAAAAGCAATTAAAACCCAAGAAACTGCTTAGGAGAATCAGTTACATACACTCAGATTATAATTTCAAGTTAAGAAATTAATGTAGCAAATGACTCCATTAATTCAAAGGATTACCTAGATGAGGCAGACAGCCTGTGGGAGGGAGTATATCTTCTTTTATTCTCTCCTTATCTAGTGTCTATTTATTTACATGTATGAGAGAAGAAGGAGATAGGGCAGTAGTAACTTAGTGCTTCCTGAGAAGATCTGTCAGCATGATTGTCAGGGTATTTCAAGATAGTCATGATTTTATATGTGTAAAGGTAGTCCTCTGTTACCTGATATGGTCTGCATATAGTCATCACACTTTACCAGATATGTGCTAGGGCCAAAAACGTTATCACCAGATGGCTAACTCTCTGGTAAGGAACATCTCTTAACTTGGCAAATTCTCTTGAGTTTTTCTAGGCTGCTGGGATTTGCCAGAAACTTTGTTCTCCCTGAATTATCTTAAAGATTCCAGGATCATCAACAAGGTATGACAAGGCAGTGGAAGAGGGTTTTTTAATAGAAATGGTCAGGGATGCCCTAGGGAACCTTGGATTCCAGGCAATGGAACTAACAAAATGTTGGGAAGAAAAGGGAGGATGACAGAATGCAACCCGTTCCCCTCAAATACAAACACCTTAATGTGTCACTTTTGTATATCTGTGGGTAGAGGGTGTTTTAAATATCAAATATAGCATAATTAAAATAATATAAAGTTACATGTAATGTCCCTATACCTATGATAATCTGTCTATAATTTACAGTCTTCAATAGGCACCTGAGTTTAAGTCATTTGTCCATGGTCATACAGTTATGTGTCAGATATAGGATTTGAATCCAGGATTTATTGACTCAAATCATTACATACTCTACATAATCTCTCTTAATAACCAAAACACAACAGAAATAGTACAATGGCTTCCAAGGTAATTGTCTTTCAGATTAAGTATTATTCTCCATTGTCCTGTATATCACGCCCAGTGGTGATTTTAAAGGCAGGCAGCCCCTATTCCAAAATATCAAATTTATCAGCTATTCCAACATTATAGCTTCACTCCTTTGAGTTTTAACGGCTTTTCATTTAATATGCAAATACAGTTGGGAAGGACCAACCCAGAAGGAGTTACTAGTTAATGCCTTAATTACAGTTAACTCCTGAGCAAAGATTTAATGGTACCAAGAGAACAGAAACTGAGAAGTGGAAGAGATAACTCAGGGAGAAAAGGAAGGAATGCAGATAGAAAAGTAAAAGCAAAGATAAAAACTGCCTATACAAGTTTACTTAACACCAATTCTACATTGCGCTAAAAATCATCTAGCCTGCTACCTTTTAATAAACCAATAAACACTTATTAAGCATCTACTATATCGCCAGGCAATGTGGTAGGTGCTGGAGTTACCAATACAGAGAATGAAACCTTACTCTCAAGGGAGCTTACATTGTCAAACAAAAAATTTTAATACTGTACTATAGGTACATTTTAAGTACAAGTCTGATTAATTAAACATTATTCAAAATCCAAGCCCTGCTCAGAGTAAGATCTGAACTGTTATAGTACTCCCCACCTCCATGCCCTGGGACATGTCTCTACCCCAAGAAAATGTGAAGTAATATTTATAGGCATCCTGAAGAAAAAAAGTCACAACATGTTAAAATATAGTTTTAAGCTAACAATCCAAAACAATAGTCACTAAGACAGTTACTTAATCTTAAACTAGAACTTCTCGATTTCTACCTTGCTTAATACTTAACTGTTTCTGAATGGAGAAGGGTTGATCATAGTATCTTCCCTTCTGGGAACAGGCAAAGCAATAATCTTTATTAGAAAAGAGATATTTATCCTTCTACCTTAGCTTTTGTTCTTGATCTCTTACACATTTTCCTAAAAGGAAAAATCTGAAACAGGTTTTAGGCTGGAGAAAATATCATTTCTTGATATCTGCAGTTGTACTAAAAAGTTTTTGATATGCTTCAACATTTTCTAACAGGGGAGACAAGTATATAAGTGTATATACATATGTGTGTGTGTACATATATATATATATATATATATATATATATATATGTACACACACACACACACACACACACACACACATATGGATAGGGAATGGACCTGTTATTTCATTAGTATAAGGAACTCCCAATGGATGAACTTTCTTTAAAAGTCAGAACCTTCTCTTAGAGAATTGCCTGGAGCAGTCATGTCAAAATCAAAAAGAAACAGCCAGCTAAACTACACGTAAGGATCCCTCAGGGCTGCATATTGACTTAGAAAAACACATATTAACATTATCTATGTTTCATTGTATTTTTAGTTATTCTGGGACAACTCTGGACTAGAGCACTGAGAGGTTAAGGGCTTTACCCAGGTTCATATAGTATGTATCAGAGAAAGGATTTGAACCTATGGTCTTCCTAGTTTTGAGGCAGGCTCTCTTTTTTCCACTCTGTCACATATATAAGTATTTACAGAATAAGTATAAAGACAACATATATAAACAAATATAAGCTAAAGAGGTTTCCAAGAAGTTAGGGGAATCAGTAAAAACTGCATGTATAAGACATTTAAGCTGCTTCTTGAAGAAATAAAGGGATTCTCTGAGGTGGTGATAAGGAGGGAATGTATTCCAGGCATGGGAAAGTCAGTGAAAAAAAGGCCAGTTTGAATAGGATTATCACCTATGGGAAGAGGATTTATGCATAATTAGGCTGAAAAGATAGATAGGTTGGGACCAAAATGTAATCAGGTTCAAAAGCTAAACAGAGGACTTTATATTTCATCCTAAAAAAAATGCAAAGACCTGGAATTTACTGAGTGAATAAGTCAGATAGTCAGATTTCTCATTAAGGAAAAACATCTTGGCAGCTACGTAGAGGACAGTATGGAGCAGAGGAGGGGTGATTTGAAGCAAGGAGACCAATTAGGTAGCCCTTGCAAAAGTTTCAGTGAAAGGTAATAAAGGCTTGGACTGAGGTGGCAGCAGTATGAGCAGAGAGAATCAGCTGGATAAGTAAGATGTTGAGAAGAAGTTGAAATGGCAAGATTTTATAACAAATTGGATATTTGCAGTGAGGGAGAGAGATTGAGGCATTGAGAAAGATAGTGAAAATGGTATCTTCAGCAGAAACACAAAGGATGGGTTTGGGAGTAAAAATAAGTTTCATTGAATCAGAAAGCTGGTTGGAAGAATGAGCAAACAAAGAAAAAAAGAATACTACCATAAAAAGCTATTATAGTGGGATGATCACGACACAAACCTAGAACAAGAGAATGGCTCAAAACATCTACAAGCAAAGCCTCAAAGAAAAATGCAACATGGACACAAATTTTACTAGAATTCCTTGAAGAAGTGAAGGAAGGTTTGTTTTTCTTTTAAATTTAAAAATGTTTTTATAAATGAAATAAGAGAATTAGAGGGAAAAAATGGAAAATGAGAGCTCTGGAAGAAAGAATTGGGAAGGGAATTAACAGCTTAGCATAAGAGGTATAAAACCTCACCCAAGTAATATACTCCCTGAAAATTAGAATGGTCCAAATAGAAAACAATGACTCCATGAGACAACAAAAAAATATTAAAGTCAAAAGTCTGAAAAAAAATGGAAGAAAACAAATAAGGTCTGTTTGAGGCATACTGAGGTTGAGATGCCACCAGAATATATAGTTTGAAATGTCTAACAGGCAGATATATCAGAGATTAGTGTTGGGCGTTTTAAGGTTGGGGTGAGTAGATCTAAAACCAGGGTTAAGGTATTCCCCAGGCTTTCATCAGAGCTTTGAAATCAAGTGCTGAAGGGCCACCAAAGATCATTTTGGCTCTATAAAAGTATGGTGTCTTAGCCTTAAGGGGAGAGCTTCAGATTTTGAGTCACAGATTGGAGAATGTAGGCATGTGGGGGGTGATGCAGAACTAAAGCTCATGGAAGTTGTTAGCGTTGGATATAGTAGATATAAGTCATCTGCATAGAGATTATCCTTAAGCCTATGGAAGTAATGAGGTCCCCGAGAGAGAATGTAGAGAAAATATAAAAGAAGGTAAAGGACAGAGCCCTGACGAACAGCCATAGTTAATGGGCATATGGAGGATGGAGCCAATAAAGGAGACAGAGAAGGGGCAATCAGGGAGAAGGAGAACCAGGAGGGGACAACACCACAAAAACCAAAACGGGAAGAGAGGAAAAAGCAGAGTAGCAGGAAGCAGTACAGCTGAAGTCCCCTCTACAAA